TTCTCAATTGGTTAGGCATTGGATGATGAATTTACAACAACAGGAAAGCAAAATCAGTGGCACAGTAGGCCTATTTCTGAATGGACCACCCAGCAAGTGTGCCACTGGTTAATGGGAATGAACATGGAGCAGTATATCACAGAGTTCACAGCTATGAACGTAGATGGACAGCAGCTGATGCAGCTCGACAGTGAGAAGCTGAAGGTATGTGTACATCCCAGGATTGATTTGTAACTGTATAGGTTTCACTGCTTATTTAGACATATTTTAACTTACAAAGTCAAATTTCCTGGTTCTGTGGCTTTTTAAGGGATAGTTACTCGCTCTTGTTATTTTATTCTGAGTTGTCATTGAAATACTTGAAGACTGTATAGTTAGATGGTAATTAGTATTTGATTGTAAAATTAAAGGCTGTTTAGAGTCAGAAAAATAACAAATATTGCTTCCTTGAGGAAATGAAAGGAAGCATATTTCTCCAAGGAGTCTTGATACATCTGTCACCAATCTCAACTAAGGTCATACCAAAACAAGTTCTGGCCAATTGAAATAGAATTGCAGGATCCAGTTTTAGAAATCCATTTCTTCAGCATTTCCTCTTCAAATGGGAAGGCTGAAATCCCATCTGGTGACATTTTACATGTTTCAAGTTTTTACTCCCACTGGAAATACATACTCTGAATCTTCTGAGCCTTTTCTTGCCATATTGCACCTGGAAGCTGTAGTGTATATATATCCCTTATAGTTCTGGTAAATTCCTGCAGTTTTTCTTTCTTATTAGATTATGAGACTTCATTATGGACAGGCAAGATGTGCAGCTAGAAGAGGTTCATTGGTCAGCTGTGGCGTAAGGCAAATTATTATTAATGATCAATAGCAGAACTTGAGGGGCTTAGGGGGAAAAAAGGTGTTCTAACTTCAGCCCCCAAAATATGTCTGCATTTTAAATAGACTTGCAACACTAAATGTCCTGCTTTATAAAATCGCGTGGGCACGGGGAAAATACCAGTGGCTGGCCTGTCAGTGCTGTCCCCAGCCAGCCGCGGAGCCTGGGGCGCTGTGCCCAGAGCTGCGTGCGCGCCTGGCGCCGGGCGGGTGACGGGATCGCTGCTGCCACCTGCCGCTCGCAAGCGCAAGCGTGCCGGCCGCCTCCTGAGCCGCCTCCGAATAGTGCACCTTAAAGGCCTGCAAAATTACAGAGTAAAAATTCCTCGTGTGCAAAAAGAGCTAGGAAAATATCTGGACACTAAAAGCAATGATGTTATTTTCTGGGAATTCTCAGGGGTTTACATGTTTGTAAAATGCAACACGAAATTGTTATTTCACAACTGAAGAGCTAGCCTTGGTTTTCTTACCTACCTTGTTACCCAGATGATTATTTGCAGTGTTTCTGTGGCCCTGAATCTTTATTTTTCAAATAAACAGACTGTCTTGTCGAAAAGTGGATAACACTTTCTTATACTGTTAATGCACAAGCATTGTTAACAGTGCTGTTGAAAAAAATTACTGATGAGGTTTTGTTTTGTTTTCCTCCTTCAAAGGCTTTGGGAGTTACCAGTCAAAATGACCGATCAACAATAAAGAAAAAAATTAAGGATATTAGAAAAACACAGGAAAAACTGGAAAAGCAGAAGGAAAAGGTTCAAAAGAAGGAGAAAGAAGTTCGCAAGACTGGCAGAGTTGTGGCCACTCTTGAATCAAGCTGCTAAAATGACCATTTTATTTTAGTGCAGACTTGCCTAAACTGGAGGAAGTTCAGCAGATTTGTATATAATTGTACAATTGAGGGAGGAGGGAAAGTGCAACAGTTCAACAGTTCAACGTGGTAGGTGGTTTTTTACTTTTAATTGTGGTCCCTCCCCATTACAGCCCAGTAAAATGAAATAATGTTTTCAGTATTTTTACTTCTAGTTGACTCTGCCTGTACTAATGGACAATAATTTAACTTTCTGCCTTAAGTAATATTTCTGCTTCTAAGGTGTCATATGTCCTTTTCATTAAATCAATGTTTGTGAAAAGTAGAATACTGTTTTAAAAATCATTCCAGTATTAGTCAACTAGCGTTTGATAGAGTTAAAGGTGATAGAGGGACAATAGAAAAATCCTGCCAACAAATTCAGTCTGTGACAGTCTGTTTATCTGTTGCCACTAAAGATGTATAGTAAAAATTAAGTTTAAGAAATGGTAATGTCAAATTAATTTAAAAAGAAAGCATGTATTTGGAATTTAGGATTATTTTAATTCTTTTACTTCCAGAACTTCATTCAAAGTTCACTTTAGTAGCACATCATTTTTCAATTCTATGTGTTGCAATTTACTGAGAAAATAACAAGAAATACTAAGTAGTTTTCACAAACTACGTATCCTAAGCATAATACTAAGTTTTCTGTACACTACCCATATGGTGTTGGGACAAGGTTGAAGCCTATAAATAAGATCCTTTTTAACCTATTTTTCCTAAATAATACATAGTTTTATAGATTTATGCTATTAATAAGATCAATTTGCAATACATGTATTTCTCTTTTCTACATGCGACAAGATTTTTTGCGGACCAAATTTATATATTTGCTAATTTTAAACAATACTGTTTTTCAGACTTCAAATACTGAGGGAAGAATTGTAGGAAAAATTATCACTGACACCCTGGGTTTCTGCCTTGTATTTAAATGTTCAGTTGTAGACTACAGATTATTTCTCTTTAAAGGAGGATTTGATTCTTGACATAGCTTAGAACATGACTTGGTGTTTTGTATATTTACATACTATTTTCTAGACATACTCCAAGAACACTTCCTTAATTTAGATTATTCCAGAAAAATAGACTAGATTAAATATCAGTTCCACCCTAGAATGGACTAGAACAAAACTTACATAGCTCGTTTATGTGGACCAAGTTCTCCTTTAAATCTATGGACTGTTTTTCATTTTAATTAAATGAATGAACTTCACTGTTGGTGTTTCACATTTATTATTTTTTTGTATAAATGTCTTAAGAATTTCAGCAAAAGGACTGTGTGGAAATGCTTCTGCACACTAAGCATTTCCAAAATAAAGTTTGAAAATCTTGGTAATAAATACTTTTTAAAAGATATTATATTTCAGTTTTATGCATTATTTGGTCAAGATTTAACTTATTTACTTTGTTTACAGTAGATTTGAGTTGTATGCCAAACTTACAGACCTTGAACCAAAGAGGAATGCTGCCCTGCTGATGAAAGAGAAAGGAGTTAGAAGTATGGAATCATCAAATGCTCAGGATCTCCCATGTAAAACCACCACTTAATTAATTCAGTCAAGAAAGCTGAGTGTTTTCACAGCTAGAACACAGAATATTGCTAGAATCCCATATTACCTTTTTTCTTTAAGCGTACTCTTGCACCCTGGGAAGAGTTTTCTGCTGAAGGAGACTGGTGAAAATGATGGTTTCAGAGGTTTCCCTGTGTGCAGAGCTGTGACAGGTAAGGAGGGGCCACAGCAGGGATGATAAACTCCCCTGGCAGCTGAGCATGGAACACTGATTATCAGAGCCCACAGTGTTTAACATCTGGTGGATGTTGAACAAGAGGGCTGGATGCACTGAACAAGCTCATTACCAAGCTACACAATCACCCAACAGAGTTTCATTTTCACAATAGTTTTAATGAATAGATGCAGCAATTCTTTCAAAAAATTAACACAGACCAAGATTAACTTTACAGTGCAAGACTGAGCTAATTTGCATACAAAACTATTAATCTCAGCATTTTGATAGTATACTACTTTTCTGTAGTGATTCACTTCAACTTAACCAGTGTGCTCACAATGACTTCGGTAAAGTAATGAAAACACTAAACACAAAAGCTGTCTTCTGCACTTCTATTTAAAGCAAAAGTTACCAAAGTTCAAAACTTTTAACTATGATTAAATATTGTAAATCAAACCACAGTGCATTTGTGTTTTCACCACAATCGTTTGGGGTTGCAGGCAAAGAGATAACTACAAATATAATTATACAGCAAGTTGCTCTGGTAATCAGAATTCAATTGGTAGTTAGCTGAGAACATGAGAGAGACTTTATTACAGTAATATCTAAAATACTTCATAGACTTTGCAGAAAACAAACTGTTAGCTTTTCTTCAGAAACACTGTAGTTGTCCGATGTTACTAAAATCAGTTTAGTTAGTTAAAAGGTTTTAAGGCTAGAATGCTCAGCTTCAGACCTGATTTTTTAAAAGCCCTTGCTGTAACTTTCAGCTTTAGTTTAGCAAAAGCAATAGCTGCAAGTGTCCCTGCCAGCATTCGTACAGGCCCCATTTTACACTGTGTGGCATTTCTCACATCCTGTTGCAGGGCCAGAGAAGAGAACAGCTCTTGGTTCTCCTCACTTGTAGCCCTACAGACTGAAAGGTGTGCCAGTTATCAACTCGCATCCTTGCAAGGAAGAATAGGGGCCTCAAGGTGCCCACAAGCTTGAGTGGAATAGGTAACCCTACTGATCTGGTGGCAATTAAGACACAATAATACTCCCTCAGACTGTCAGTTTAACTGTACACAGCCCAGTCTGTAATGCACTTCTATTAAAGTTACCTACAGTAGCTTAACCAGGGTATAAACCATTTTGTTGTTTTGCAGAACTTGGCTAGGGAAATAGCAGGTGATAAATCTTGAATCTCGCTCGGCTGCAACTAGAGTAGCATGACTTCAATTTCCAACATCCTACCTATCTCCTTCACTTGTGGTATCTCACCTTCTGCTCTGCACAGAGATAGTAAACTAGCAAAAGCTAGGCCTGTTGTTTCTGAGATGGAGTATGCATGTCTGCTGCAGAACAAAACCCACAGAATTACATGCAGTTTAATTAACTGAGAAAAGCATTGGTTCCCAATGGCTTTAACTGCATCCCTCCAAAAATGCTCAGGAATGACAGGGATTGAGGTGCAACACAGATGTGTATGATTTGAACAAAGCTCATATAGTAGGTGTTAAGTTGAATTCTTAATTGGAAGGACTCTGTATCATTCCCCTCTCTCACTTCCCCTGTATGTTCTGATTTGTCTTTGATTAACATATTCTGGTTATCATGTTTATGTTATAATGTGAATTCCAGTTACTACAAAAACGAGGCCAGAAGCATATCACAAATGCAAAGGTATTTTCAAAAACTGTTAATTTACTTACTTTACTTACTCCTGAGAAGGCAGTTTATACTGTCAAAGTAATAGAGATGCCCTATTACAGACAAATTTTAAGAATCTGTTTATTAAAATAGTTTCATTTACAGCTGTACCTGACATACCCAACTCTGAGATCTTACAGAGGCTAGAATGTTGATACTGCATTTTGGTATGACCTATAGAAATACAGCAAATGCAAGACTAACATTTCTCTACTGTACACAAGCCAATGCTATTTTTTAATTCACAATGATCAGGGCAAGGTAAGTTTTTCACATCTATTATATATTCACATTACAACCAAAGAAATAGAACTGATGCCACCACATACCTGAGATACATTATACCAGTAGTAGAAGTTAAAAACGCTTTTAAAAAACTTTTATTCCTACAGAGGTGTGATTTCTACAGCTGAAAACACCACCTTGATGTAGGCAGTGTATGTAAGCAACATATCTAAATTTGCAAAATTAAGCTTCAGCATGCTTAAGATAAAAGAAAGTGCCATACAGTTTCAAAGGTATAGCAATGAGCTCAGTATTTCTTACACAAATTTTTCATTAATCTGTAGAATTTTATAATGGAAGAATGTTCCAGTGAGCTTTTTTAATAGTTTTTCTAATAAAATTATTTTTAAATAATACAAATTAATACCAGATGTGAAAGCTGTGGCATTGATCCCTATAAAAACCAATATATTGCTCCTTTGACTTAGCTCTGAAAGCAGTCATTAATAGAAAGTGAAACAAATGAAGTATGACCTTTTTTTATATGTGCATGTTTGGGGGTTTTGGTGGCTGTTGTTTTTTTATTTCAGAAAAGCCTCATTACACTCAAATTTAGAATTACTTTCACATATCAGAAGTGGCTCAAAATCATAAATCAGGTCTTCTAAATTCCCTTTACAGACAAACCCACTTAGGAGCTGCTGAGGAAAAAGCTACATACTCCGAAAAGTGGTCATGTCCTTTGGCTCACTGCTTGGCACACACCAGTCATCAGCTTCATGGTTTGCTTTATAATGTTTCCAGGCTGCTTTGTTGTATACAGGGAGTCTTTCAATTGATTCTGTTGATAAGGCCTGTAAGGAGAAAAGGCTCTAGCTGATGATTCTTTTTAATTGCAGTTACCATAACAGAACAAGGAGTTCCATTAGCAGTTCAGATTAGAGCTGCTGATAAGAGTAGAGTGTTACATCATACCTTGATGTAAATAACTGCATCTGTACCATAGCCTTCTAAGGAATAGAGTTTCAGGTCTCCTTGGAAGTACTGTGCATACAGACGTGATATGGGTAAGCCATAACCAAATCCAGCCTGATCAGGAGAAAACACTCACATTAACTGCATTAATCAGCGGCATTTTCTGTTTAAACTTAATAGGTAAAATAGACAAACTAAGCATGATGTCTGACAGTAACAGGAGTTCAGGTGTTAACTATTATGCCCTCCCCCAAGCTATTATATACCCCAAAACCAGAAGAATGCATGAATGATTGTGATTAAGAGAAAACTGTTTGATTCCTTTGTCAGGCAGGGCTGGTAGGTAACACTTCTTGCATTATGGCAGCTTTTTGAAGAGATGCCATTGGAGAACACTCTGCTGTGTGTCTGCACCACGCTCATGGAGCTACTGCTCTTAAGTACTCAGAGTTCTTAAGTCAAATACACACCATCATCAGAATATATAAAAACACTACATCTGTGACTTTGCAGCTTATACTGAAATTCTGCCAAGCCCTGGCTGCAGTAGCAGGACAGAGCCCTGAAGTGTTAAGTGTGATTTTTTTGTTTAAACACTAAATATTTTGTTTAAATACTAATTTTTGTTTACATTTTAGAGGCAATCTCAGTGAGTGTACACGACACTCCTCTGTAAAGATCTTATGTTTAGTAAGTTGCAGAGTCATCTACATGCAGAACTACATACATTTTTAAATGATGCAAGGTGGGAGAATAAATACAGGAAGGCTGTTCAGAGATTCTAATTTCTGAGAGCTTAGGCTTCATTTCTTGTGCATTTATTACACTCACATGAGACCAAAGTGGATTCTTCATATGCCCTCTCACATCTTTGTACCTTCATCCTTGCTAGGGGTTGGTACAATGGACTGCACAATACAAATGAACTATGGCCTTGATCTAAAGTCACTGCTACAATTATTCTTCCTTTCATTCAGTGGCTACAAATAGAATTCTGAATCCTGCTCTCACTGGCTTGTGCAGCATAGCTAAGTATTCTGCTTGAGGTGGCTGATTTTTAGATTTAGTAGAGAAAAAGAGAATCTTGAACAAAGTTAAATAAGTTTTGGCATTTTATGCCATTTTTCAGTTATTTTTTGAAAAATACTTTAATTAAGCTTAAATTAAGTAAAATTCAAATATTACTCAATGTAATATCTATAAAATCAGCATTTCATAGTCTTAGCTAAATGGTTTTTGTGACAATTGGACCTATCCAGGATGCCATGGTATAAAATCTTGCATACCAAAGGTGTAGCTCGCGATGTCTCAACACGAGGACGTGGTGCTGTTGAATACATATAGTTGAACAGTCTGTCAATTTTCCTCATAGGAACACCACCACCACGGTCACTCATCTGCAACAAGAAGGAGCATTTAGCTTTATATCTCTGAATACACTTTTATAAAAGATAGCTTCTCTCAAATAATAAGCCAGAAAAAATTACAGTAAAGTGTTATTTGAAGGTGTAAGTTACAGATTTTCCTACTAAGTTACAGATTTTCTTTTAATTCTCATCTTCAACAATGACCAAAGAGAAATGAATCCTTCCCTTTCATCCTTTATTCAAACCATTAAATAAAATACTGCCATAAGAAGCATTCATAATCTCTTGGAGAAAAGGAAATTCTGCTTGAATTGTGCATTACTTTTATCTTGCTCATCACACACTTTTGTCTGAAGTCACTATCTATACCTTTTGGCAAATGCTAGGTTCTCTGTGTATTTTATCTTTATTCCTCAAGAATACTGCCATATTTAAATATAATTTACTAAAATCTATTACTTGAAGGAGTAAGTCAAAGGAGTTCGTTTACTACAGCTTAGTTAGACCTATGAAAAACACAGTGCTTGCAGCTGGTCTTTGAAATCAAAGATGGGTGTTGTACAGAAAAAAGAAGCTGCAAACTGTACTGCAGGAGGTTTGTTTTGTGTGGAATATACAATATATATTTCCCTTTCTTCAGTTCTTTCAAACCTGTATAGCTCTGTCATTGTCACTCAGAAAATGTTGATGTTACAATTGTATAAAGATGCTACTTTAGTCATGATTGCTTCTAAGCTAGGCAAGACACAAGCAAGTACAGGATGCTATTGCAGAGCCCTCAGTGTGACTGCAGCCTCTTCATGAGGCAGTATGTGAAATCCCATAAGGGTTTTTCACATACATACATCATCACATACAATCTATTGATGGAACCAGATCACCAGCTCAAGTTACTAATATGCTGCTCATGACAGGAAAGGAAAATCCTAATCAAAGTAACTTTCAGAATAGTAAAAAAAAAAAGAGTACCTTCACAGTTAAATCCTCATTTCCCAACGTGATTTGTACATGAATTGCAGGATAAATGCCTCGATCAGCATGATGTTCCATGGTGGCTCTCATTGCATTCTGTAATTTCCAAGTACAACTTAAATCCTATTCACTTTGTATATTAACTTAAAATATCATTTAGTAGTTATTTTTATCATGTATTTAAGAATCAGAACAAATGTATATTGGTTTAGAATGGGTTTTTTATATTCCTAGTTTATTCAGTATCAGGATATATTTAGTTTATTATAATATTAAGACTTCAGATATTTAATTTTTTAAAGGAAACGTGAATAGTTTAATGTAAAGCATTTGTGTTCTAGAATTCTTTATAATGCACATAGTACATGCAATACGGCACAAAGTCCAAGAAAAGTCTAGGACTAAACTGCTGGAGAAAAGGTCTGTAGGACATGTTACGTATTCTACCAGATTTGAAAATATACAATTTATGGGATATCTAACTTGCTTCATTAACTAATGTCTTCATACATTTTAAGATTTAAGCTGTCTATTCAGAAGGTATTCAGTGGCTGGGTTAAAGAGATACCTCTTCCAAAGCTGTTCATTTTCTATGCAATTATTGTTTCTCTAATAGTACAGGGCAGCTGTGTTGCTGCAGTCAAATGGCAATAAGTTTGCACTTGCAAAAACACACTGTGATCTAGAATCAGTTTGAAAAGTCAAAGCAATACAGTCTCAGTAAACAAAGATGTAATAAAGAATTGTGTAATTAATGGTAAGTGCACAGACCTTGAAAAGTTCAAAAACCATGTGATAGAGATGTGATGGCACATACACCACTTGCATAGGCTGTCCTGGTGATTTAGCTGGAGAGAAGAGAGTGCAAATAACTAAATGGCAAATGAGATGTCTTTATTCATTCCCACAGTAATTCAGAATGTGAATTTGTATTGTTAAATTTAAAGAAGGAAAATTTAAACAAATATTTTGAAAAATTGTATGTTAATCAAAAGTCATAATCAAGATTTTCAAATGTTGCTTGCTGCTTTAGAAATTAATCTTAAAACCCACTATGGGATCACTGACTAGGGCATATCATATCATGTTTTCAAACAGCCTCCTCATAGGTATCACAAAGATGGAACAGAAAGTCTTGTATAAATCTTTAATGTGTCACAAGAAATGCAGAGAGGGTGAGATGCAGTAATGTCAGGTGAAGAAACATGAAATCTTAGCAAGGGAAGGAGCCTGCTAAAATTTGTTATATCAACAGCTGTAGAATCAAAAACTTCTACTCATGTCAGTTTTCTGATTAAAGGGAGGAATGGGGAAAGCATTCTGCCAGATTTAAAAAAAAAAACAGTAGATACAGAGAACACATGAACTATGTGAAAAACAGAACATTTCACCACCAGCTCCTTTGGAAGAAGCCATCATGATGTTCAAGAGTATGCCTTGTCCACATTCACTTACAATTCAACTCTTCAAGGATAAGTTCTGGAGAGCTCATGTAATATAAATCACAAAGGCTCTTGGCATTTTCATAGCCATCTATAATAAAGAACACAGGAAGTTACATTTCCCCCTCCCACCTTTTTTTTTCTCCTTTAGAATCTACAAAAATAAAATTTTTGACAGTACTGTGCACTGTCAGGGAGATTTGTACTTTTCAGAAAAACTGCATTTATAGGAAAAAGAAAATTGTATTTCACATCCAATAAAACTTCTGCTCCTGGTAGGCAAGAACAAAACAATATATGCATATTGGGATGTGTATTTACTCTTAGTGTGGACTCCCATGTAAGTTTTCAGGATTCTTATTATCTGAATTTACCTTTAATAACTTCAACAACATTGCAGTTAGGATCAATGCTTCCAATATGTTTTGGATGAGCTGGATTAATTTTCCCACCAAACAGTAAAGCTGCCAAAAAAGAAAACATAATTTAATATCCAGTGTAACTTTATAATTTTAGTTTGTGTCTTCCATTTTGCTAAATAAAAAATTTATAGACAATCTAGAATTTCAGTCCTCACCATACTGAAAAGCCTACTATTAATAAATATTTTAGGAATTGTATGAAGAATGAGTTATAAATGGCAAGGCAAATAGTGCACTCCTAAGTGGCACCTTAGTACATATTAAGCAGTTAAAGGAAAATACATCTGACATTGTACAGACATCATTTGCCCTCCTTTCGACACTTACAGTGTTGATTAAGGAGCATTCTGATTGAAATGCGACTCATGTAGAAGCGGTCTAAGAAATACTGCACGTTCTGGGAGGTCACTGGATCAATGCCAAAGCTCTCCTTGTACTCTATCACTCCTTGAGCCATCGTAGGAATGACATCATTGTGGCGATTCCGGATTTTTATCACAGTGTCTGTAAAACTAAAATGAATTCGTTGTTACTATTTCACTTTCAAGGGAAATTAATCCTCCAGCAAACAGTGCCTGTCTACAAAAATGAAGACTTACAAAAATATCACATCTGCCTGCTGCAGTAAGAAGGGAGGTCAGTGTTTACAGCACATTTCAGGTGACTAACATTGAAACAATCAGTAATCCACTATTTTGAATGTTTCTAAAATTATTATTTATTTATTATCTTGATTCTACCAAGAGAAAGAGAAAACTGTGCTAACTGTTTTCATGCAGAACAACCCATGCCTGTCAAATGGCACTTCTGGTCAGCCAGGACAGACCAGAGCATTCTGTAGAATGACATTATGCTGAAGTGCTTAATTTCCTGGTTTAATGTACCCTCCTTTAGGGACAGGGGATGACATTGCTGCAATTCTTCTGTAAAGATTTGAGATAGGAAATTTTATTTCAGCTACTGTTTTTCTGCCAATTCTCCAATACAATATTAACAAGATATATGTGATAGCAAAGCTTTACCTTTGAACAGTCCCTGAATCTTCTGAGCTTTTGTCCTTAAAGTCAAGAATCTCCTGAAGACTTTGGACGTACCTTTCAATGAAACAAAGAGGATAAAGATCAATTCTAATATGTCTCCCCAGATCTCTCTGGTTAGCAGTTTGTGGACTTCCAATGTTGCATTTTTCCAAATCATTCTACCTGTCTCCCTGTGAATTTTGTTAGATTCCTTTGAATCCATTTATGATATTTTCTTCGAAAATTTTCAGAGTAATGCATACCACAATTTAATTAGAATGCATAAAATATCATCTTTGTGGTTTAAACCCAGTAGGTGATCACTTATTTGCAGCCCCTGCGTGTTCCTGTTAGTAGAAAAATCTTTCCATTTGTGCATGATTTAAGTATTTCTGCCATCCCTCTCCTTAGATTCATATTTTCCAAGCTGAAGAATTCTATTTGGTTTCTCCTCACGTAGAAATTGTTCCAACCCTTTGATTATCCCTCTTGGTCTTTTCTGTTCAGGATTGAGCTGCATGCAATTCAGGGGAATAATGGGCTAACACAGTGGTACAATTATATTCCTACCCATTGGTTATTTAGTTCCTAATACTATTTTCCTTCTTGCCATCAACTGACATGTGCAGAAAAATATTCCCAGTAGCATCAACATTTCTTTTTCCATTGTAAGGAAGCAAGCACACAGGAGAGGAGGTTCTTCCCTGTGTTCTACTTTGCATTTGCCCAAATGGAATTAATTTCCCATTTGATCAGTGTCATCTAGTATCATGAGAATGTAAGCATTTGTGTTTCAGTAAGAATTCATTAAGCTATCTTCATTGATAGCTCTTTTCATATTCAGTCATCTAGTCAATCCCACTTACTGGCAGATTTTGGCAGATAGCTTTAAAAACCTTTACAGAAATCCTTGTGCCTTTAGCAGTTGCCAAGAAATCTCTTTGTTTTGCTTTCATCTTTAAAAACTTTATGCCTAAGTTCCTTACCTGGAAGCAAACTTTACTTTTCAAATAATGTCTTTTTTACTTTAATACTTCCATGTTCTCTCTGTTGTTTTATGTTTTGGCTTTGGGAATTTCCTATTGCTTTTTCTTCATATTTTCTATACCTTTACTGTCAGTCTGCAATAACCTGTCTTGTAAATGGTTTCTGGTATGTTTTGCAAACATTTTGTGCCTTTGTTTGCTTCTGTTGTTTTCTTCAACTAGCTTCTTCACTATAAGGTAAGTGCCCTATTAAACACTCTTCTGGTGGATTTTTTTATAAAAAAAAAAAATTGATTCCTCATACATGAGTGTGTGAAATACTTAATGATTTTTTTCATTCCCTTGGGGTTCTCTAATTGCTCCTTAATGCTTTTTTCCCACATCTGTAAATTTAGTTTCTGATCACACTGGTATATTTAGCATCTCAGTATTAATACATGATGTTCATGCACCAAGCCTATGAATGTCCTTTCAATAGAAGAGAGTGACTTCCTCCCACCTGTGTTGGAGGTCACCCTGCAAGGAATGGAATGTCACTGTTCTTACCAGCTCTGCACCAGCTGAACTGAAGGTGTTCTTAGGAGGTTGTCTGGAAGCAAGCTGATTTCCTTCATTATGTTTGCCAACCTCACCGGCAGCTCTTGTCGCAGAAACATAAATGAAGTCTTTTCACAAGCATTTTCAGACCCTAAGACCAATATGACATCACAATGAAGTCAATAATATGGCAGAGAACTGCACAAAATTAATTTCTTGCATAAGAGGCCTATACCTTGATTTCAAAGCAGACTCCACCAGGCTGTTTCTTTCATGGCAGCAGCCCACTTGTATTTCAAAATGTATGGCACACTGAAACCTTCCTGTTGCAGTAATGAGAATCTTCAAAATATGAACGAAACTAATGCAACAGTTACAGACCTATACTGTTCAACTTTAAATATGGCTTCTATCCATGTATATTGTTCATTTTATTTGCAGTAAATTCTAACCAGCACTCATCCAACATGTCATTCTGAGCATGTCAGAGAAGCAAATGAAACCAGCACAGGCAACTATTTATGAGAAGGATGCTTGAAAAGTATCATAGTCCCATACACCCTGCTTTTCATCGCTGATCTTAGTGAATTACCATAACTCATCCTCAAACACTTTCAGAACATAAAATCAGTAATAGAGATCTCATTTTCAACTAAATCTGTTATAGTTTAAATTCAGTCTTACAGGAACAGAAGTCAGGTGAACAAATTCACATGAATAGTGAGAAAGAAATTAAAGTAGGACAGCTACTCTGCTTAGCCATTAGGATACTAATACATTTAATTTTTACACTTTTAAAAGCTGGAAGTGAAAATACTGCCTCTTTTGATAACTGACCTGTCCTTTTGTAAGAACAAGTGTCATCTGCAGGGGTGGCAATCAAATGTGGTTATTAAAATCAAGACCTGCTTGTACTCCCACAAAGCTTGTTTTCCTAGGTGAGAAAAGAGGGTGCAGCATGGGGAAGAGACTAAGAAATGCTGCACTTCATTCTCAGCCAGACTTCTTTCTAGACTTAAAGGCTGTCACATAAACAGCTTCTGAACTTCTAACCTGCCCATCTGCTGCAGTGGAGTGTGTACTTCAGGTCTGGTGTTTCACAACATCTATCTCCTACAAATTAACTCCTGTGTTACTGCTCAGTTCACTCCTTCCATTTGGCAAGGGGAAGTTGGGAAAGAAGATTAAAGGAAGGGATGAGGAAAGAAAAAAGGAAGCTAGGACTGCCATAAACATGAAAAATCTTCACCATATAGAGCAGTTTACTTTAAAGCATGCAGACTCAAACAGAGTGATGAAAGAAAGTCAGTTAATTAAAAAAGTGAATAATTTACAAGAAATTCCTCCACAATGGCACTTACCAGCATTAGGCACTGTCTACACAAGACCTCTGCCTAGAAACCTTTCATTCTTCTCCCTACTCAGATTGCACAGGCATGACTATTACTGGCTTTTCCCTTTTCTTGGGTAAAATTCCAAGAACAAATCAGATTGGAGGTATTAAAGTGTAAATACAATTGTTAAATGCCTCATTCTCAAAAAATTACATTTCACAAAATAGTTTTTGTATCTGAAGGCCTTACCTTTGCAATTTTGGGTCAAATATGGAAGGCAGTATAGAGCAGGCAAATGACTCTCTTCCCATGTGCAGCTACAGTCTATATCTAGGCAAAGAATGGATAAAACTCCTACAGAAAATACTGTGGTCTTATAACCCAAGACCAGACCTGAATTTGCTTACAGAATATTTCATTTTTCTAAGTTAGCTTTACCAGATTTTATTATTTCCTCTTTGACTGTTCTCTCTCCTGCAAAAGGAGCAAAAAAAAAAATCCTTAATGTAAACACCATCAGATTATAATGGCTACAGAATGTCTTACAGAGAAATATTGTCTCTGTGTTGCAGTCTTTTTTATTTCTGTTATTAGTTTTTACTCCTGTAAAGGATCTGTAAAGATTAAATCTGTAAGGATTAAATCCTTAAGCAAAAGAGAGGAAAAAAATATTGTAGAAGTTTTCAATACTATTTTTACTTTATGTTCAGGTACGAAGAGCAAAAAAGTAGCCTATCTTTTGACACAAGGAAATAGTGTGCCTTGAAAATAAACATTGATTTTATGGTAAGCATTTTATCAGTAATGGTAAAATAAAACAGGTCAAAGCAAACTCTGAATTGCAAGGTTCTTTGCTTAAAAGTACAGTGGCAACAGAACATATGGTGAAGTTCCTGTAGGAATCTGGAGTTTTAAATGTCAGATACATTTCATTGCACAAGTGAAACATTGAATAGATGGATGAACTGATAGCAGATAATTGTGAGAAAATCTTGTTTGTAAGTCTTCCTGCTTATACAAAGTCTTGGATTCTAGGATTAGTTGTCACTTAGGTTTTATTTGTAAAACTATAAAAAGCCATAAAACTATTGACTAGTTAAATATATAACATGTAAACATGTATGCACACCAAAGTGCCTTGGGTACAGAAATGGAACATATTATAGAATGGCCCCAACCTCAGGCTTTGAAAAATGTCTCAGTGTGACTTACACAACCTTTCTCTATTTGCTTTGAAGCAGAATAGAACAACTCCTGTGATCCCTTTTCTTTCCAAGCTGACAGTCAAACCTGGAAGCATTAGAAGTGGTTTTGGCACTGAGTGTAAGATTGAGTATCCTGTTACTGATTTACTCAGTTTCAAGACTAGATTCCAAACCTCCAGGATGGCTCCCAGTATCTGCATCCTGTTCCTTTTCTCACACACCTTTTAAAATGGCAACATTTGGCTAGGCTGTTTCTGTAGGGCACAGGCCAAGTGCCAGAGCAGTGATGACTGTTCCAGCCCCTCGTGCCAGCTGAGGCTGAACGCTTCACGTGTTTGGCAGATGCCTTTAAAAGGCTGCGTGCTGCTCAGCAGAAGCCTTAACCAGTCTCACCTGTCTGAGTCACTGCTCTAACGCTACCAGTTGTCACAGCTGTTCCCATCCTCTCCCCAGCACTGCGGGCTCTGCAGGAAAACACCCAACTAGCCTGCTGGTGCCAAAAACTGGAGTTTTCAGCTACATTTCAACATTGCCACAGTCGCGGTCTTCGGGAACGAGCCAACTGGGCTCCCTTGCCCCAGAAGGAAGCAGAGCCCTTTTCTGCCAGAAACGCAGCATTAACAGATAAGCAACAGCCGGGCAGCGCTGACGGGGTGAGGGGTCGTGGCCGTCCCGCTCCTCACAGGCACCTGTGGGAGGAGGGGCAGCGGTCGAGGCCGTCTCGCCGAGGACTCACCGAAGTCCAGAAATTGCTTCATGGAGAGCGGCGAGGGGGAGAAGCGTGAGTAGAAGTCCACCTGCTGCGGGATGTTGCCCGGGGCAGCGCCGCGCAGAAGGGCGCGCAGCAGCCTCATGGTGCAGCTCTGTCCCCTCAGCTCAGCCCGGCCCGGCCGCCATTTCCCGCCGCGCCGCTCCCCCGGCCCCAGCCCAGGCCGCGGCCGCCTCCGCCGCGCCGCCGGGAGGAGGTGCCCGAGGGGGGCGGCTGTCTCCGCCCGGCCCGGCCCCGCAGCGGCGCGGGGCGGGGGAGAGGGCGGCTCTGAGGGAGCGGGGCGGGGGCGCCCGGAGCTGCCTGGCAGCGCCTGAGGCGGACGCTCAGCTGTCCCCGGCGCTTCGAGGGCCCGACGGGAGGAGGCGACGCTCGCATCGCGGAGGAGCCCGGCCGCGCACAGGTACGCGACGTTACGGGTGCCGGGGCCGCCGCCTGCCCGGAGAGGGGCTGCGGGTGCGCCCTGCCCACAGGCGGGGAGCCGTGAGGGCTCTGGGTGCGGCGGCCGGGACCGCAGGGGCAGCGGCGAGGCCGAGAGATGCCCGTGCACCAGCGGCTCTCTCTGGGCACTGCGGTGCCCGGGGCTCGGCCGTGCGGGCTCAGGCTCCCCCTCGGCCTGGGATGGAGCCGTGGCGGGCGGCGGGGACTCGGCTCCTGGTGTGGGTGAGCCGCGGGCCGGAACGGGAACTGTAAAATTCACAGAAGGGCCGGAGGGAGGACAGAGCCTCAGCCGAGGGCATCGGGCTTAAACAGCCGTGCGTCTTCTCATTGTGGCACCTGTGTCTGCCCGGCTGCGGTTTCTTTCAGTTACCAGAAAAAAAAAAAATCAAACAAAAAACACAGAGGAAGAATAGGGCTTCTGCTTTTACAGATGCACTCCTGATCGGTCAGCAATGAGCACAATATGTCTGTGTTGGTAGAAAAGCACTTGGACTGTGTGTCACAGTGAATCACTTTACTGCCAGTTCAAATGCAACATGTGAGGTACCAAACTGTGTATTGAATGGTTTATTGTCCTGCTCTCGTATAAATATCTAGAATACTAACAAAAAAAGGGCCATTAATAGTGATTATAAGCATTTCTGATAAACTTACTGCAGTATAGATGTTACAGACATCTTTGACACTAGGCTCTCGTCTCCATCAGATAGATCTATCAGCACAGATAAATTTTGATACCTGGTAGCTTGAGCTAGGTGTCTCAAACGGGGGACCTCCAGACAAAGAAATCCCTGGACAATTATTACAGTCTAAACTGCACACAACGGTGTGGATCAATAGCCATAACAGAGTCTGGGTCCTTCTTGACCTTCATTGCTTTGCTGTTTTGTTACCAAGTGTTTGCCATGTGGTCATTTTCACATCCTCTTAGGTCTGTTTCTGTGATGATTTCTGTCAGTTTTGTAGTCCATGTTATAATGTGGTTGCTCCAGCTATTAATATTTGAGTAATATTTAAATTACAGTTTTGTCTGTTATAACTATTAGTAATGTTTAGGCTGTTAGTTCCAGGTTTCACTATGATCCATCTTTGACTAATGCAATATAGCCATATAGCTCAGCTTGCTATAACAATTCTAGCTACTTATGCCAAGCAAGCACTTAGCTACTTTCAAATAATATGAATTTTTCAATAATTCTACCTTTGTTTTGGTAAGCATACCTGCTTTAATAATTTAGTATTTGATACAGGTTTAACCTCATGCCCTAGCAGAGTTTGAAGGCAAGATTCACTCTGTTAGTGAGTAGGCCATAATTCACACCCAGGCACAGAGGTGTGTACATCTATACCAGTGTTCAAAGTTACTCTGCAAAGTTCCCCTTGAGTTCGGTGGAATGCATCAAATCCATTTACATTTCTCAGTGAGCAAGAGCTGCTCCTCCAGGGCTGTAGGGGGTTGGACTTTCCTGTATGGCAGGCTTGAGGGGTCATGAGCTCCAGCTGGTGTCCCACCTGAGAGGTGCTGGTCACAGCCTGCTGGGGTGTGGCAGAGTTCAAAGGGCCTCTCTTGGTACTGGGTCAGGAAATGCTTGGCTTTAGTCAAAAATATATTTCCATCCTAGCCATAAAACAAGTTTTAAAGTGCTGGAAATTTTGAGGGAGAAAAGTGCAGTAGCAGTGGTGCAGTTTCATTAGCACTGCAGGTGAGGGAGTAACTCCTGAAATCATAGAGCAGGCCTGAGGAGGAGTGGGAGGGAATGCACCGTCACAATTCCCCCATGTCTGAAGTCAGTTCAGCTGCTCCACAGAGTGACAGTGTGCTCACCTCTTGCCTCTCTGCCTATAAACAGGTTAATGCTGTGTTCCAGTTGAAATTGGAGAGAAGTTTTTGGTTACCTAACTATAATGGTTTTTGTTAAATGTTAATAATATGTATCAGGAAGGCCTCTTCAACAGTGCCATCCATCAAGTTATTCTCCACACTACACCATACTGAAATACTGTTCAATAAGAAGCATTACCCCAATTTACCTTTTGCATTTCAGTGGGCAAGGTGCCCTCATGAGCTTCCCTTATAATTACTGTTAACAGTAGATTTTACCCACAGTGAAGAAACATATATAGTGTGGAATGTGCTACAGTTACCATATTGATTAAAATAAAGAAAAGAAGTGATGGTCTCCAGCCTGTGAGAACTTGCTGATGTGTGAATCAAATTTGGTTCATGCTGGCAGTGGTTGCTCCTCTGAGAAGGATAAGCAGTCTTTTGATGGCTAACCTGATCTCCAGTGGAGATGTGCTGCTTATTATTCCCAGTGCCATTCCTGAAAAGAGAGAACAACAATATCGACAGTGGATGATGCCCTGCATTCATTTCCTTTTTCTATTGTGGATATTAGTATTCGCCCCATAAATTTATTAAATCAACTTTTCAATATTGATTGGTTTCCTACCTGGTGCCTGTGACTTGTCTGTGACATGAGAGAGGGGATGGATATCCTGTGGCACCCACTAGAGCAGTTCTGATACAGCAATCACGTTAATCCCTTCAGTGCTTTGTTGGATTCCTCCCATTTACAGCTGCCTTGTTTCTTGTTCTTGTTGCATTGAAATACAGAAAACATTTGAGTCAGTCAGCCTCCAGATGCAGTTTCCTGAGCTGCACCAATACTGAGTGAGAATGACGAAGGATTAAACTGTTTTTTTCATCTGGTTTGTAATCCAGCCATACCTTAATCTTTATGCTGCAAACTGAATGGCTTGTTCTGCTCTGGCCAGGGAGTGCTGGCTAATGGGGCAAACAGCTTGTCTGGCTCTGCAAGGCTTCTACAGATACAGCTTGTTGGCAGGTTTTGCTCATTGCTGCTTGTAGGCCACTCCTGGAACACCAAGGAGGAGCTCACGCTGCTCAAGTTTGTAATAGTTTGGAACTTGTACTTGAGAATTGCTGTGCCCAAAGCCACTTTATGATGGCCTCTCAGCTGTGAGCCAGCACTAGTTTAAAGCAGTAGAGGCAGTACATGGAGTCTTTGTAAACTGTTGCAATATCTTATGATGGCTCTGGATTGGCTTCATCTTTTAGATGTGTATATTACTGTGGTGTTTGGTGTTTCAGCTTTACATGCCTTCAAAACTGGCCTTCTGCCTAAACTTACCTTTGGACAGCAGTCCCCAGGCACAAGATGTGGCAAAGGCTGCCAGAGATTAAATAAATCATTGTGCATTGTAAGCTGGGGACCATACACAGTCACGTAAACAGAGAGCACTTTTCTTAGAAAAAGTTGTGCAGGATGAGCAGTCACAGAAGTAACTGGATAAGAGAATGGTGGATAATTCTTTCAATGCTGTTTTCAGATAAGAACCTCTCTATTTACCTAATGGTGTTTCCTCATCTTGTTTAAACAATCGATCAGATCCTGATCCGTGTAAACATGTTCTGTTAGAATATTGGAGAAAATTTTGAGTGCTCTTTCTCTCCTAAAACCTGTTTCTCTCATTGATGATTTTCTAGGGGCTTGCTCTGATATGATCCAGTGTGACACTGACCAGAGCTATAATGTATTAATTTCTGTAAATTTTTATGCAAACCAAAAAGCAGAAATGTATTATTTTCATTATTTTGCATTTTTCATTCTTTCATTCATGCTTATTGGTGGTGTTGAAATTCTGTTACATCTGGATCAATAATTTAAATGGGACAGAACAATTCAGACCCCAAAAGAACTGAAAACACAATGTTTAGTTGAATTTCAATTTTATTTATTTTTTAAGACCTAATATTGCAGAGTGTTACATAGAAAAGAGTTTCTTGTTTATTAAGGTGTTACTGGAAGTTGTCAGTTCTTGGGTGCTGCATGTACTAGTGCTTTTTTCCTTTTCCTTAAGGTCCTCCAAAGTAGGTGCAGCTCAGATTAAGAAAAAAAACTTAAGTTGCTAGGTATGAGTATCCTAAGAATATTTCTCTCTTTTCTTTCCATGGTTTATGTGCTTGACTGCAATGCCTGCACAGTCCCCTGGCCCATCTAGCCAGTTTGTGCACCTAACCTGCACCAATTGTTTGTTGTTCTAAGGTTTGTCTTCATCCTTAGGTTTTTGTTGGTAAGTTGAGCTTTTGCTATGCTAGACAAATTCTTAGGGTAACATTGGTTTGTGTGGCTTTGGTCTCCTTTTTGTGAGGAGCTATGACCCTTATGGGGCTCTTCCAATTTCAGATACTCTTAGGATTCTATGGATGTCTTTTGGATACAGGAAAAATATACTACACAGCTACTGAAGTTAAGCATTAACATTTTAGGGGAGCAGGAACAGCAAAGGATTTTGTGGACACTGCAGACAACTCTCAGCAGCTGTCAGAGGTGGACTGCTGGTCTGGGTGGATCTGTGGTCAGGTCCAGGGTGGCTGTTTTCGTATTGTTCTTCCTTGCTAAGCTGGAATTGGGCAGAGTGCCTTGTAAGCAGGCTGGCAGCAATGCACTTCTCAGCTCTGTACTGGGGTACTCTGTTGGACCCCTCCACTTTAAGAAACCAAGCAGTATCCTGCTAACATTTCTTTTAATCAACTTATCAGTTGCATTATTTCATATGTTCCTAGCAAAAGTATTTGACTCCTCTGTCCCTTCCTTCCCTGTCCCCCAAGACACTGGGATTGAGGGATAGAATACATAGTTAGCATTGTGTATCAGCGATGAGAGGGGTTTATCTTGGTCTGCAGCAGCAAGGACACCTCTTGCAAAAATCTGTTCTCTATGTTTTCTGGGATATTTGAGGCAGGTAGGGCCCTGAAAAGGTGCTGATTGCAAACATTTTGCAGAGCTAGAAAAGGAAGAAAGGGATCTTTCTTGCAATATGAAAAATGCAAACTGCAGGTCCCCAACGCCTTCATAGTGACAATGTCACACCTTGGCTGGGGTTTGAGGCCCCTTACAGCAGCAGTCCTTTGGGATAAGGAGTTTTGTGGTGTTTTTTTTAAAAGGTTAGGACTCAGCAAGGTTTATGAGCCTGTAAAAGGTGTATAGTATGAATTATGACTCTGGGGCCTGGAAAGATAAGACATTGAAAGGTATCTGAGAACTGGAATAAAAAACTAAAGCAACTGGTTCCGCAATCCCTAGAGGGAAACGCACTCGTGCTCTTGCTGTGCCACACAGCCCTGCTGTCTGGTGAGGCAGCTGAGGCACGGCCAAGCGTGTCCACAGGCTGGCTCAGAGCACTGCCTGCAGTTGCCTGGTTGTTTCTCACAGCTTGGTCTCCTGGCCTCTGCAGACCAACTGCTGACACAGTGGCTTTGTGCTGGGAAAAGCTACTGCAGCTGTTGAACATGAGCAGCTCCCTGGTTGTGCACGGTCTGTGGAGTGAGGACACACTGCAGCCATGATCATCAGCACTGCAACAAGGCTGCTTTATGGGGATTGGGGTCCAGTGCCCCTTTCAGGAGTTTCTTTTACCTCATGTGCTGATTCTTGATTTGTGTCCAACTGAGCACCCTGTTGCCTTTTCCACATATAACTTATAGACAGGTGGCTACTGGAACTGAGCTGTGGTGGTCCCTTAAATTGAAAGGTATATTCTCTTATAAGGTGTCTGCTGTGCTGCAACAGTTAAATGTATGGGAAAGCATTGCAGTTTACCAACACTCTATTTCTTACCTTGGACGATATAGAGTGTGTATATTTTTGTATAGATATAAAACGCACATTATATATAGTGAACACTATATATAGTGAACATTTTATCTATCACATATATGCATACATTTTGGACACATACCCTATTAGAGTGCTGCACCACTGTATACATTGTACGGACTACATCTAGTACTATTATGTGTATGGTATATATGAGCATACATATAAAGCCCAATATAACAGATTTGCTCAAAACTTACTATGATCAGCTACTTAACTGTTCTGACAATTGATATTTTGTCTTCTTGTAGACAAATGTTTGTGGCCAGCATGTAGAGTAATTGCTTAATAAGAGCAGGTTGAGTTCTTATCTTTAAGATGTGCTGAAGGGTCTAGCGACATTTTCTGGGTCTAGTTCTGGAAGCTTCTTGGCCTCAACAACAAGGAGTGGCCTAGCATATATCCAGCTACCCTTTTTCTTTGGGCTTTGTTGCATCAAAAGGCCTTTCAGCAACAATGAGTAAAAGCATCCAGTGAGGGCTAGTATCTTAGAGGTGGAGCCACATTTTGTCTGTTGGGTTTGGGGGGATTTTTTCCCTGCATAACTCTGGCTTTTCCATAGGGCTTTTTTGGTGGACTCTCTACTACCCTGCAATTGTGTTATATCAAATTTCCACTGCTAAATAAATACAAATAGGTATGCAAACTCCTTGACCAATTTTGGGGGATGTAGCCATCTCCACTACTTACTCAAATACTTGCCTGGCACTATTTAAGAAGATTTCTAGGAGGCTGCTTGCATGGAAGGGCTCTGGGGCAGCATGAGAGGGGAGCCGTGTCCCGGTGGGAGCTGGCACAGGCTCTGACTCCTACCCTGCTGGCAATGGCAGCAAGCAGCTGAGAGCCTGCGAGCCTGAGGCTGTGCCTTATCTCTGCTGCTCCTTATCTGCCCCTTGCATGGAGCAGGGCAGCGAGAGCTAGGGCAATGCTGAGAGAACCTGTTAGAGCCTGCCACTTTCAGCCTCTTCTGGGGAACTTAGCTGTGGCCACCTCCATTAAGTGTGATACAATCACTATTACCAAGACCATCTTTAATTTAAAAAAATTTATTTCACACTTCTATACAAATATCCACAGGTAATTTCTAATCATGGAATGATGTAGCATTCTTAGTTGGTATAACAAAGTTTGAGATAAAAATATACCAGTGACGTGACTTATTTTTTCAAGAACTTTAACACTGCTAAGACATTCATGTTCTTAGATGAGGGCCACAATCTGATTTTATACTCAGGGGTATTTCTCAAGCTTCTTAGCCCCTGATTAGCCTGGCTTCTGATGCTGCTGAGCCTTTAAGCAAATAAGCTAGGATTCTAAAGGATATTAATACATAATTAATTATGTATTATTATCTAAAGATACTAATACATAATTATGTAAGAGTTCATAAAGTCAGGGTCATAACACACTGAGATTCTCGAGTTTAACAGACACTAAAGGTAACTTTTTAGGTGACCACACCTTCCAAGAAGGTACATTCAAAGTTAGCAGTAAAAATAAGACATTTGACAACTGCCCTCCTAGCAGGTTTTTACCCTATGGGGAGAAAAAGTACCAAGAGGTTTTTGCATAGTTCATAGTACAAGCAATTAACATGCATACTTTTCGAGCAGAATTTTGTTCCACATGGAATACACAACTTTGAACTAAATCTTTGTTCTTAAATAGTACCAAAGCTTTAGAATATGGGTAAAAAAGTAAACTCTTATTTTCTCAGTTATGTTACAATAACCAATTACTAATTACATGGTTCTACTTTTCTCAACATTCAGGTATTCAAGATGGTTCAGTAGTCTCAACATGGAGCAGCTCAGATCCTGACAGTTAAGGTAAGAAAGGCATCTCCAACCTCCAAGTGCTATACAACAGCTGCAGTAGTCAAGGCCTTCTGCCAACCAGGAAGTCCTTATGAAGCTGGAAAGGGGTTTCCAAAGGACTTTTCACTTTCTTGCAGTGAGGATAAAATGGTATCTAAAACATTACTTCACTTTGGTGTCCAAACTGTTAAACAGTCCACAGTAGTATATAAATCATGTTACAGGACCTGATGTTACAAGCATCAGGAAAAGAAAGCACCCATACACATCATTTGCATAAATATTTACATTTTAGAAAGCATTGGCACCTTCAGTGATTTATTAAAATGCAGTGAAAGCCTCAGGTCTCATAATTTGAAGTTCAAACACAGAAACATAAAAGCCAGAACAATGGATTTTAAAATTCAGTAGTCTTCAGCCTACCAGTTAGTCAAAGACAATGATTTATAATAAAAATAAATACAAAAATGACTAAAATATATATATACAGAAAGTACATTGAATATTCAAGCCTCTCTTAAAAAAAACCAAAACCTGTGTATATTTGTTGTGGGCAAGAATCACACAATCTGATCTTTAAAAAAAGAGCCCAAAATCAAGCAACATGACCCATTGCACATGTAATTTAAGATGATGCTTTTTGTTAAGCCCTAACTACTGCAGCAGGCAAAGGTTATGACTAAAGCAGACTTGCACGTCTTCAGTTATACTTGAACAAAGTGTGATAAGGCCACTGTGTGTTTATAAAGCACTGTGCATTGAGGGAACAATGGAGAACTCATCTTGACCTTAATCATGCATGCCCTAAATAACTAGCAAGAAAGTCAGGATCACAGGAGGATCAGGTCTGCTGTAGTGGTTTTGCTCATTTTGCAGCAAAGACCCCACATCAGCATAATATTATCTGAAGTGTGGGTTAGATTTAAGGGGGATGAAGAGGCAGTGTGGAAATTAAATAAGGCAAATGAAGTCTGTTGAAGCCATTTTAACTGTGCAAATAAAAGCTTCAATATAAGTAGTAATATCTACAATCAAATGGTGAATGTATATAGTGTTCACAGGTCTAACTCCATCAGTATTCCATGAATGAAAACCTTAACCTCTATCTGAACTTTGTGGATAAACAACATTTTTGCCTAAGAATAACTTTCATTTTCGTTCCATTTGGTGAACCACTGTTTTGTCTCAGGGTCTTGGCTTTTCCCATCTTTGATCTGTCGCTCCTCCTTCCGAATCCTTACAGCGTGATAGCGGGGGACACTGTCTTCGTACCTGGAGCGCCGGAAGAACCCGCACTGCGCACACAAGGAGAACAACAATTCAGCTCCGAGTTGCTGCCAAAGTACTACAGCTGTAGAGGCAGTAAATTCTTCCTTCACACAAATATGCAGGTAAGAAAATTGAAAACAAAAGTATGTAGGCCAAAAATGTAGCATATTTAGCTGTAAAAATGTGAACCAGGAGGTCTGCATTAGCTGTTCAGCAGCAGTTAAAGACAAAGGGCATGCTCTGACTACCCGTGGCAATCAATACCTTAAAAAGATTCCCTCCAGTACAAAGTTGTTCATTCCTCTAATGAGGACATTTACTTCTGCACACAGGAGAGCTGCTTCTCCTGAATCAAAGGTAGGTATGTACTTCAGTGTCTTCCTGTATGATGACATGATTTACCCTTAAGAACGTACAGAAAGACTTCCAGAACATTCAAAGAAAGTTACCCTAAGGGCCTTGGTTTTCAAAGCACCACTTCCACTTCAGTCACCTGAACTAACTATACATATGCTGTGTTAGAAACATGAGTCTTGCTTGCCATGGGAAGTCACCCTGGATGACACCTGTAACAGTTTCTCTGCACTCTGCAGTTTTTTATTCAAAGCCACTGTAAAAAGTGATTGTGAATATCAAAGCATGGACTAAAATTGATTTCCAAAACAAAAGGGAGCTATGGCCACAATATATAAAGATCATGAATGGTACACACTCAGCTTTACATCCTTATGGATCACTGATCATCCTCATGGATCAAGATTCAGGTTAAGAGACATTGTGCCATCCAGCTGTCATTAGATACTGCTGGGGGTAAAAACATGTTAAAGCAAGCAAGTTTTCTTTCACAGTATTTAGGGTGCTGGATTTTTTGGTTCTGTTTGGTCAACGGTTTGGAGGTTTCTTAATATTAGAACTAAGAACTGAATTTAAAAAAAGTTACAGTGAGCAAAGACCAAATCTTTAGCCATCTCATAGTTTCATTAAACACTGTTTTGAAATAATTAATTAAGAATTCCTCTCCTCTCCCTTATCCCAAGCACACTCATGGATACAATATACATGCACATAAGTGGAATAAAGGTTGCTGGAAATACAAATCATCATTATCATGCATCTTGTAACTTCAGCAAAGTGTGTTCCTAGAGAAGTACCTTAGAACTCGAGTAAAACAGATGTTTCCACAGAAGTAAATTCTCATGAAAACCCTTCTCCGATGTAAGCACATGTACAGCATGCACTAAAGGTTAGTAAAGCAAATCTATGTATTGTTGCTGCAGTCTTATCTTTGCATCTTAACTCTACAGTGTTGATTCCCATCTTGCAAGCTTAAAGACTTACTTGTAATGGTAAAGCATAAATTAAAAAAAAAAAAAAAAAACTGAAGCCCATTGCAACAGATCACCATGTTTTTAAAAAAAGAAAAAAGAAAAAAAAGCATTTTGGACCATGGTAAACTTCTGTGTGTTCACATGCACCAAAAGCTGAAAATCTATCAATCAACAGAAGGAGCAAGCAAGCATGATAGCTTGAAATCCAAAAGTTAATAGAACTTATGCAGAAAAAGCTTCACAGTTAGCCACTGCAACCATAGCATGTGCCACAGCTAGAAATTAAAAAATATCATCAGTTACCAATTACAGAAGTAGATCAGTACTATGCATCAGAAGTAAGTCTCTCTTTATCAGATGGCTGAGCATGGATCTCAGCCTTGTGATATGTGGCATCGTAATGATCTTTCTTATTTCTCTTGAAGAAACCACACTACAAGGAAGCAAGGTATTTAGTCATTTTTTGTGGACTGAAAGAAGTCAAACCTCTTAAAACTGACTTAAGTCTGTCAACTGTCTTCCCATTATCCCTTCAAGGGCCAAAGAAACCAAACTAAAAAACTCATTACAAGAACTCAGCTGTTTCTAGATCTGAGAACTTCTTGGGCTAACTTGATCTATACAATAACAGAATAGAACAACTTATTTACAGAGTAACCTGAGACTGTTATTTCAGAGATATTTTGATAAATGTGTAGAGAATCTGTTTGGGGTTCTTTTAGGAAAAGCTACAATAAAATATGTCCGTAGCGAGTGAAGGTAGCTGTGAAGAGCAGAAAGAACCCAATTACAGAAACCTGTTTGTGGACTAGTGCATGGGACAGACAAAACCACAGGGTGTAGAAGAAAACCAGTTACTGCTTTGGCCCCTTTGATACAAGCTTTTGTCTTAAACCAATGATGTATCTGTCTTTCCAGTATGATGTTTGTCCTTCATAGGACAGCACAGTTTGTGTCATCAAAGCAGCATTTTTCACTGTGTGTGCATGTGAAAAATGTTTGTATTCTCATGCACAGTAAAACACTAGTAGTTAGAACCTAACAGTCCACCCAGTATTCATTCATCAGGAGTATTTACAGGAGCAGCTGGGCATTTTTTACAAAATAAGGAAATCAGAACTATCCTATGGGAAGCAAATTGCAGCAAATAGCTCCTCAAAGCTAACTGCTGCAGTTTCACTGGGAAAAAAGTAACAGGATATTCTTCACCTCCTCTTCCTTAAATAACCTTCTGCAATCCAATAAAAGCAAATACTACTAACCTATGAAAACTAAGAATGAAAGGATTGCTCTGTTATACTTGAAACCACAAATAACTGGCATTTTTACAAAGGTAATTAGAAAAAAGATACCTAATTTTTTCTTTTGCAAATAGTTAACCATTTGTTAGACCTCTTTATTTATTTCTTTAAGGTTTCTAATATAAAAAAGCAATAATAAGAAATTCACTAGCACACATGGCTATGTATTAATACTGTGCTTTTGGTTATTTTCATCTACTGTCAGTTTAATGGTATTTCTGATGTTTTGAGAACTAAAACATTTCTAAATAGCTCACATGAAGTTTTACACCCAACTGCAGAGGCTCCCAATGGTTCTATCCGTCTGTATCAAACTATGGCCTCTGAACATTTGTCTCAAGTTTCATCTGGAGCTCAAAATACTTCCTTTTGAGGATGTGAAAATAGAAAAATTATGTAACAAGTCTGCCCGTACAACCATTTTAATTCCAAGTGTTGCAGAACTGAGAAACTGATAATGTGTGATTTGTGCAGTTTTGCCCTATTTTGAGTCCCAAACACTTAATTAGTTTGCTATCTTGTCAGTTATAGACCAGAAAATAAAAAATAACCAGATTAATAAAAGCTCACCTTCCATAGTAAGAATACCAAGAGTGCAAGCATGAGTATTCCAGCAAGGATAGCCACTGCAATGATCCACCATGGAACCCCTGTGTAAAGGGCTACTGGTTTTGCAGGAAATACAGTAACACGCACCTGCAGGACAGAAAATGTGCATGTGGAAGGAGTATTTTAGAAGGTACATGTTTAATTAGAAAGCTGCAATTTATATAGTCTTACCTCTCCTCTAACAAAATGTCTTCTACAAAATGCTTTTAAAGAAAAAGTTCCCACTGGTATCATTTCAATATGGTAATTAACTTGTTCAACCCCATTAAAGGGTAAAAATTAACAATAATTCAAAGCTCAGAAAGTTAAACTTTTAGCTAGTTTTGATTTAAATTTGTTTCATTCCTGGTCTTTGGAGATAAGGTAGAACAACCACAACCATAACATGTGGTTAGCATTAAACACTGAACCTACCTGAGCAACTTCATTTGTGAGTTTAACATTCTTAGCTGCAGCAGGAACACTGATGGAAGCCCTAACCAGAATGTCAAGGTAATTCATTTTTGAGTATTCCTGTTCCAAAATAAAACACAAGTATTAGACACAGTACAGGAAAGAACTCTGACCTTTCAAGAAGGCAGGTAAGAGGACTTACCTCTAGGAAGGTGCTGTTCCACAGCCTGGAACGCAGCACAACAGATGCCTTGCTGTCAAAACCCTTCAGGGGACACTTTATATCCACACAGCGTGCATTCACATTGCAGCTCTGCAAATGCAGATTTCTACATGTGAGTAGGATCACATCTTCACAGATTGTTTAAACCTCACCCCAAGATTAAAAATTGGATTATATGCATTATACCTACATGCAAGAACCACTATCTGTTTGTACTGATAGCAATGGGAAAACACAATGAAGATATTATTACTTGCTTATTTTAAGTAACTATGCAGATATTCTTTCCTAGTTCTTCCTCACAGTAGATGATCTAAATGTTTGAATTTTAAAAGCATCAATATTTGGATGTAAGATAAAAAGAAGGGAAAGGGATAATTTCTTTCACTCTGCCAAACTCAGAAAAGCCCTCTTTCGAGTGCCGAGGGAGGTATCTGATAAGAATAGAGCTGTTGCAATATCCTTACCAAGGTCTTGTATTTTCTTTCTGAGAATAAGGAAAATGCCTGGCCATCTGTAATCTGCTTCTCTGCAACTTCACGCTTTCTTCTTGAGTTATGGGATTCCTACAAAGAAGAAAAAGTAAAAAATGAAAAAGCAGTTTATCGTAAGAATCTTTTAATTCATACAAGCAGAGAAACTAGAGCTCAGTGTTTTCTTCTTCCAAAATCAGCACATGATAGGGCAAAGGGAGGTTTAGATTTATAAAGCTTTCAATGCTATTTCCATTTTTAATTCTAGATAAAGAGTATTAATGGTACGCTTTTAAAAAAGAGTAAGAATGTGCTATGGTCAGTAGATGCAGGGGTTTTTTTAACTGTATACTAATTACACTCCAAGTTAATATTAACTAATACAATTATCTGACAAAAGCAGGTTTATGTGCATGCAGTTTTAATGGTGGAAAATAAAAATTCCTCCCCTATAATCTTAAGATTATATGAAGAAAAAAATACAGCTTAAGTTTTAGGAAAAAGATTTTGCTAGACAGGCACAATCCAGGGCTATGAAAATTGCTTCTCATTATAATTGTTATAAATAAATAAATTTAGGTTCGTGTTCCTTGTCTTCAGAAAAAGGACATGGAATGCCCCTAGACTGGGAAGATATTTAGTGATTTGTTGTTTTTTGGGTAAGAACTCAGATGCTTTTATTACTGAGCAGTTTTCAATAATACTGATGAAATTTGTTAGAACAGTCAGCAGTTTCATCCTGTATAAGAGCCTATGACAGCAGTGCCCATTGCATAAACAGTCATTGTGTCATAGCATCTATCCTTTGGCATATCAGCCTCATTAGCTGTTAAGAATTCTCCTGATAGGCTTATTCACAGATAACTGGCCCAGTATAGTGCTTGTGAGCTGCTTAAGACAAAAAGTAACTCCTTCTAGAAGCAAGCTCTCATGCCCTACTCTCACTTGCTGTGGGGTGCTTCCATGTTGTACCAATCCACCGACAGAACACAGGGTAACTTACCGCAACATGCAAACTGTTGATTTCACCCTCGGGTTGACAGGAGACTTTTTCCAAGCCTTTGGAGTCTATTTTCATCAAATAAAGCAGCCATTTGCCATTACTAATTTCTTTTGGCCACTGGATGTCCAGGGAAGCAGTGCCAAATGTTTTCAGTGGTCTGCCCAAGTTAGTTACCTATTAAAATAAACCTTCTTTAAACTGTGAAATACTTTTCAGAGGGATTTTCTTCCTGAAAACATTATTGATTTGGACAAGCTTTAAGCATGCAGCTAACAGGAAACTTAGATCAGATGAAAGGCAGTCAAAATTGTACAAAGACAAAGCATATACTAAAACTAGCATACTTGGGGAGCAAGTAAATACATAGAAGGATTAGAATTCCCTAACATGAACTTTTAGTGGTTGATTTTTAGAAATTAATCTTCATGTGAAATGACAAATTCAAATTTAGAGTTAACAAATCAGTCAGTTGCGTAAGGTAAACTGCAATTTCTGATGAACTCTGACACAGAGAACAAGCTCTTAGTCTTGTTAAGTCTGAAAGTGTTTTCCCAACCTCTTTTTTATAAAATTGATAAAATATCAACACCTAAAGAAGCTTTAGTCAAACTGCATGTTCTGAACAGGAAGTTAGGTTGTTGGGCCAAAGAAAGCAAATTCCATTATACTAACTTTTTAAAATATTCATATGCATAAAGCAAGAAGCTGTGCATTTGATTAAAAGCGGCTGTTGGCATCAATCTAAATTACTCACTCTGAATTCATACTCTATGAGGTTTCCAATATCATCTTCAGATTTCATTGCACTCTCACCAATGATGTTACCTCCAAAATATACCTGAGAAGGCTTAGCAACTCTGTTCAGGTGGGGGTGGGAAAGGAGAATAATCAGATTTTAATGAGTCTGAAGCACAACTGTCCCCAGACCCCCCCAATCTGTCATGCTATCAACACTTACCCAGTGACTGATAAAAGCAATTCAAGAACCACTTTAGCACTGGCTGTAATTGGAGTCAAATTAGCTTGAGTGCTTGTTCTACAATGAAAAGGAAACAATGGTGTTTATTTTACAAACGTAGTGGGTTTCTCTCTACTATTAAATTACTTCTGTGAATCAAACAAATAAATTCAAAACGTTTACAACTGTATATCAAAGCAAAGTGCAGGTGCACGCACATGAAGCATGAAGAAAACTTACGTTTCCAGCTTCAGGTTAATGTCTAGGTCTGTTGTATCAACATTAACCTTAGTGGTACTTAAGATCAGATAAAAGGTTACCTAAACAAGAAGAAAGATAATGAAATACATGAGCTCTTTATAAGATATATCGATAAATGAAATTTTATAGAACATTTCAGTGTTAAGTTCTAGAGTTAAAAAGACAGATCCAAATCAGATTTCCAGTTGCAACACACAGCACCTTTGGATGACTGCGGTCAGTCAGAACGAGATCTTACAACTACAGTAAAGTAAGTGCAACTTACATTAGAATTTCTTTTGAAAGGATTTCCAAGTTCACACTCTGCTTGAGAGCCATTTTGGTTAGCACCACATGTCAGCTGTTTTTCCTGATTGAACAGAACACATTTACAAGTAAAAATATGCTGGAAATAGTTTATATTTTTCAGTAGTTTTTCTCTTAAAAATACTTACAGGATAACTCCTCATCTCTCTGAATGCAGAGTATGTCAGACTGTCTGGAAAATTTGCAATTAGTTTAGCTTCATATGCATCTTCACCATCTTTTTGTGGATTTTTTACATCAGATGGATTGTTTGTCACAGTTATTTCCAGGGCAATATCTTTCTGGTCTTTCAGAACAAGCACTGGCATGCCGTTTTCACTACAGAAACAGAAAGTACAGGGTTCTGTGCATTAGGAAAACAAATGTGTACGCAAGTTTGCTTCTTATGATTGTTTATCCAAATACAGTTTCCTCATATTGGGGGAGAACTCTAGTAAAGCTATGAACATGCACAGTCAAACTATGAACATGCATAGTCAGGTTTTTTCCCAGTGATAGGTTTTTTTCTCCCACACCAGTATTTCATCTGACAGTGGCCAGCAGTGAAGAGGAAGAACAGGATGATAAATCCCTCAAATAATCAGGAGTTTATAGTATTTCTGAACCAGCACTTGCATCTGACTCATGTAGTGAGGAATTTCCTCCAAACCAATCTACTGACCTGCTTTATACTTGTAAAGTATACCTGGGTTTGGCTTCCGAGTGTGGCACTCACTGCTAAAAATGTCTGACTGCTGGCAGTAAATAAACATTTGTTTGTTTGTTTTATCCCTGCTCTAATTTCACTGGCCCTCCAGGAAGGAGGGATGCAGCAGGGTGCTGGGCCATGTGTTAAAAGTAAATCATCACTGCATTTCTCTGTAATGACTTCTCTTGGGCTACGAGACCACACTCTATCAAACTGTCATACAGTCAAGTTTCACCTGCAAAATAATTAACAGTGTCACACAATAAACTACGGCAAGGCTGGTTTAGCATGTCATTTCTCCAGGTATTAAATTGGCTTGGTTTTTTTTCTTTTAGCCCTCCCCTGCACTACTGTGGCCACTTAGGATCCATTCAACTCTGAAGCACTTTTCTTCTCAAGCTCTTCCCTTCTGCCCTCATTCCTCACCCTGACAAATCAATACTACTATCAAGGGCTGTGTTTGCCAGACACAGAAAAAAGCTGCTTTTCCAAAATCCTTTCCTAAAAGTTCTTTCAAGGACTTGTTAATAATTTGAACTTTAGAAGTGCATTAATCGAGACTTACAGTGGTAAATAAGTAAACCTGTCTTCATTTCCCTCTCTCGTACAAAACCGGTACTGAAGCTTAAGGTTGCTGTGACATTCATTGTCTTCTCCACATCCTTCTTTTAAGAACTCCACCTAAATAACACCAAACCAATTTTACCACCTGACACACAACAGTAGCTTAAAATCAGATTCCTGAAACAGACTGAATAAAGCAGCTACATGGAACTCACAAGGCACTTTCCCGGACAGAGTTCAGATTTCAACCTGACTTAATTCTTGAGTTCAGTTTTGCTTTGTGAGATACAGCCCTTGCTGCTGGTAGTTTAGAACTTTAAATGTAACTAAAAAGCAGAGTTGCATAATTGTAAATGAGAGGTGCCCTTATTATGAGAAAATACATCTTTAGTGTGATTCTCCAATAAGCATTGAGGAAATGAGAATTTTTAATGGAGATATTCCCTCCCTTCTATGTGACTGCTGCAATCACTGCTCAAATGCCATTTCAGCATCCTAACCATGGAAGAATTAAGAGCGAACATTATCTTTTTATGTTGGACAAATATTCCCAACAATAGACAATGAATTTCTATTTTTAATCAAAAGTACATTTCCTCCTAAACTTATTGGGGAGAGGGAAGAAACCAAGGAGCTATACCATCTTCACGTGTTGCAGAAGAACACAGCACATAGTTTGTAACATGTTGTAACAAGTTCAGAACAAAATATAAAATAATAATCCAATAGTTACATGTCCAGTGCCACCTCAGTTATTTCCTTTGGACATAATTTAGTTTTCTACAATCTTTAAAACTAAGTTATTTGTAAAAGTACAGATTTTTGTGAGTATGATATATCAAAGGCTTACTTTTGTGGTCTCTGTTTCAGATTCATTTGAATTTAGAATTGGTATAAGATCTGGAAGTGCACTCTCTCTTCTCTTGGATGGTGACTCCAGGCCAGCAATTTTAACATTGACTGATATTGGAATGGGACGTAGCTTATCTTTAATCTTTTCCTGTCAAAATATTTTAAATTGCATCATTAGTGTACAGTGCAGAGGAGAAAAAAGCAACATAAAGATGAGCTGTACTGTATATAAATTCAGCATTTTCTAAACATGCAGGAACACAAAGAGCCCAGTGCTATTGTCCTTTTTTTCCTCTGGTTTCCCAATCTGACAATTTGTCTCACCATTAAGAATTCCTTTGAACCACAGACAGTAATTCAGGCAGGTGAAATTCACACAGCTGTAGTAAAATAAAACACTGGAACAGGTTTGAGTAACATGGTCTAATAAAAGGTGTCCCAGCCCCTGGCATGGGAGTTGGAATAAGATGATCCTTAGGGTCCCTTTCAACCCTAACCATTCATTGATTCTATTCTATTCATAAATTAAAGTTCTTTAATCTGCTGTGTTCAAAAGCAGCCTTGGAGGCTGACTCATTCCTGCTGAGCCATGGTGAGGGAATCTGTTAGCCTCTGGAGCAGTTCCACCTCTAGAAGCTACCACAGAGCAGCCAAATCAAGAGAGCTCATACCAAGCTTTCTTGTCCTGCCCATTTGTCCACTCTAAAACCCATGGGTTAAAATTATTTTCCTGAACAGTCACACTATAAAAATCTGTAACAATTATTTCTGTTGGAAGCAGCTCTCCATTTTTGGCACTTAGTCGCTCTCTATTGTTCTAAATTAGTTCAGCTCTACTGACCTCCAGAGTGTGCTGCAGTGGCTACAGTTTTTATCCATACTTTGCAAGAAAGGCAACAGGAGGAAGCAGCATGTAGTAAACTATGGTGGGTTTCTATTTTTGAAGTTTTATATTGCATATGACTTTGAAATTAAATACAAAATTACATACAAAGGTTCCTTCCATGAGGCTGCCAAAAAAAGAGCATTCTTTTGTTTTAAGTGGATCTAAATGAAAGATAAATGAAATACTCTCCCTTACCTGCAGGATAAGCTTTGCAGTGACACACTCCCATGAGTTCTGTCCCCTGAGGGTTGTACTTGCAGTGAACTGATCAGAGGAGTGGTCACTGAAGCGCACCCTGGAGGGCAGGCCCAGCTGCCGCCTCTCGTTTTCCACTTCAAACGTGTAATTGATCTCTGTGTGAAAAAATAAAGTAGGTCACTATAAAAAAAAGAATCATTTTAAAAAGAACTATAATTTCACAAGATATCATCTTAAGCATTATTCTAGAAGACTGTTCCAGACAGTGCTGGGCTTCACAAACTGTTTTCAGTCATTTAAAAAAAACCCAAACTTTCTCCATGTCAGTTTTGTCCTGCCACAGTTGAGGGCCAGGTACCCCGTGTGTGAATCTAAAGAAAATTTCTAAATCAAATCCTATTATTCCCAAAGTAAAGCGTTCCCTTGGGCATGGGGGCTGGTTGGGGGAGCTGTAATTGCTGTATGGAGCCAGCAGAGGGCTGAGCTACCCGCTGTAAATACCCCAGCCAGAGCCAGCACGATTCTGAGATCAAGATACATTGGTAATTTCAATACTGAAAGCAGAAGTGTGACTAGAGCTGTCCAGTTGCGTGCTGAGGTATGCTTTTCTAGATCTGAACTTGGTGCATCTTTTAATGATTGCTTCACTGAGCTAATTCAGTGCTGCACAGATGGAAACAGCACTGAGTGTGCCAAGGCACTGAGCTGCTTCAAACACTTCACCTGCTAAAGGACCAGCACTCATTTGGGTACAGCCTTTGGATTTTAAAAGTAACTGAGAAATTCAAGACAACACAGGAGAAAAAGGGTCATTGGCCTAAAGTTCTTCTCATTTCCTCTCAAAATCCTACACAGTTCTCCAAGAGCTGTAACAGCAGCATTGTAACAAGTGCTTTACATCTTTATGGCATAGTCTTCCAGTCTTCTCCTATTAATGCAGATTTTTTAATTTCAGTTAATGATTTCCACAAAACCATTTTCATGAATACAGGACAGGTTCATAGGGTAAGCCTCCAATAAGAAATAATGCTCACTAAGGGTGTATAAAATGACCTGAAAAAAGGTTTAGGGATTCTCTAAAGCAGCACTAACCTAGAGAGGCAAAATGGTTTGGGTCTGTATAGAAGCCATTTGCTCACTGGCAGTTGTATTACTTAAAAAGCTTTAGTCTGTCATCCACAGAACAGCTTAACACACCAGCATGTCTCTAAATACAGACTGTGCAACAGCTGAGCTTAGCACTGAGTCACATTTTAAATTTGTCAGTCACTGTTGAGATGACTCGCTATAATTTGAGAAATATGTTTCCATGATGAACTCTAAAGAAAGAAAAAAAAAAACAAAAACAAACCATGTGACAAACAGATCAAAAATACTTATCTTCAGAACTTACTTATTCTTGGATTTAAATCTCTAGGGTTTGCAGTATATTTAAAACATGCTTTCACATCCATCCTGTAAAAAGTGCCAAGAAATTAGTATTAACTTTTATTAAGTCATGATCCAGCAGAATGAAAAGTTTCAACTGATCAGTCTTATGACTGTGGTATTTACTGCTTACTAGACTGAATTATAAAGCAAGAAAAAATGGTTAATAAGCAATTAAGCATTTGCTGTCATGTGTCTATTCAAGACAAGATACTTGTGTTAGAAGTCTGAAGAGGAAAGGTGAGATTAATTTTCAAAAATGAACGTTATGAGAAGGACATATTCCACACCTTGTCTTTAGCACAGTAGGCTGAAGAAATTCAGGAAGTCAAAATGAACATATGCAGATACATTTGCTTAACCTGCATGACTCTCATATCCCTTCACTTAAACATCATCACTGAATGAATTTTGACAGTAGAAAGCTCAATACACCAAGGCTTCTGACAGATGAATTTCTTTTTCCATTTACCTGATTTCACCATGGTCCTCAGGGTTCTTTTTCTTTAGATCAATTCTATCAGGCTGTACTGTAATGTTTCTTCTAATGCTTATCACAGGCCGAGATCTTCATTTGGGGGAAAAACAGGGAATAAAAAGAAGATGTAAAAAAAAAGAAGTTGCTTCTGTTAAGATTAATGAAATAAATAATGTGAATAACAGATTCCCTCCACCCCTGCACTGATTTGCAACAAAGACACTTCAAGAAACACAGAGTTTGGCTTTGACACTGGTCAGAAAAAACCTGAAAACTATTAAAGCTAAGCAAAGGTCACTGAGAACAACTACAGATCCTGAGTGGGAAGCAGGCTACACTAATGTGATGTTGTTGTCTTTCTTTACACTTACAAAAACCAGAAAATTCAGTGGTGGTTTCTACCACCAGTAGTAAAACAGCCCCTGGGAACAACTATAGGTACTACAGTTCATTCAGGTTCATGTTCACAAGAGCTTTAATTTGGAGCCTGGTGGCTGTGGGAAATGATATTTCCTGCTTCCTCTGCATGTAGGCTGTAACCATACTTCTGCCTGACAACTTGTCTTTTCTCTTCTGGAAGGGAGAAGACATTTCACATGAACAAATGAATGAGGTGATCCTGTTCTCATTAAAGCATCAAAAGGTTGTTTAAAATAGCTGGTAAGCCACCTGCTCCACTTAACTGGGCCACTCCTTTTACTCCTTGTCACCATAAGAGGTTTTTGTTCTCACCTTGGTAAAAGTTTTTGTCCTGCCTTTATCAGCAAAAGATTAGAGCTCCTTCTGAGCAAGCAGAATGCTAAATAATCTGACCAACTCCTCTACCACCTACTCTGTTCTCTTCCACAAGCCATGTGAGTTGCTTTTCTTGGGCACCGTTCCAGTTATTTAAGAGCATTACTATTATGTGCACAGATACTGTACACCTTAGAGATGGGAGCATAAATTGTAGGGAGGGCTGTTCTTCCTGAAAAGTAAAGTTGTTTGACCCAAAGCCCTAGTGTAATTAATTAAGGTTCCATGTATAATACCTGTACACATTTACAGAATCTGACAGGGAACCAACAGCAACATCAGGGTAGGAATTTTTATCCAGGTCCATATTTCCAGCAATAGAGTAACCAAAGAAATTGGTGTTTGTTTTTTCACCATCAAGAATCTAAAAAGCAAACAGACATTTGAAAACAATAAAGGTAAAATAAGTAACAACTGAACATAACTGTCTTACAGTCAGAGACAAAAGAGGGAAAAAGATCCAATGAAGCAGGACCTGTGAAATAGGATCTCTGTGTTCAGTTCAGCTAAAGGATACTGAAGTGCCAGGACGATTTGCTCTTCTTCCAAGAAGTTACTTGGCAATAGCAGTGAGTACCAGAAATTACTGATCTGCTGAGAGCTTGTGTTTATTACATAATGTTTATTACCCTCATGTTTATTTACAGTATTTATGGACTATGAACACTTAAAACAGAAGAAGCATTCTGTAAAGTATTCAAGCAGTATTCTAGGGAGTATAATGAAGTTCCATTCCCACCCTGCAAACTGGACACAGTGACCCTCAAAATCAAACAAAAAAACCCAAAGAAACCCAACAACAACCAACCAAACATTAAGAAGGAAGTGAAACAGTAGTAATGAAAGAGAAAACAAAGAAACTAATTGTTTTGCAAGCACCAGATTTTTTTTTAAACCCAGATCTATACATCTTTTCTTTCTGCACATATTACTGGTGCCAATGGATGGCCAGAGAAATAAAAATATCTGTTAATAACAAGAATTCCTAATCTTTCCTGTCAGCAATGCAATCTTTGAAGGGCCCTGCAACTTTCCTGTATATCCAAACGCTCCAGTAATAGCAATGGAAAATAAGATGGATAATAGCCCTGTCATTCCTTTAATTTTGTTCAAGAATAATTATATAGTAAAGGTTATTTCATTACCTGTGCTGGTTTTGTATTTATTCCATTCTTGGATCCATGATAAATGTATACTTTGCCAAAACCATCGTACGGAGCCCCTACTGCAATATCTGGTGAAAATAAATTGCAACATCTAAAATCATTCTTGCTCTTTCTGCAGCATGCAATCAAAGGGTAAGATGTTACAAGTCTGGCGTTGGCCAAACAATCTCACACTTTTTTATTGTCATTGTTTTCCATTTACCTGGGTATCCGTCCTGATTAATGTCCCCAACATTTTCTACTGCGAGTCCAAACATGGAGTCAGTGGTCCCATTTAGGCGAAGAGGCTTCACCCCTGCCCACTGGCCCTGGCGGTTCATGTAGATGTACACGGCACCCCCGATGTCCCCACTTCTGTCAAAGTACTGCGGGGCCCCAACAACGATGTCCTGCCAGCTTAGGATGAAAAGGGAAAAGAAAAGGCAATGCTTTTGTAGGAGAACTCTGAAGAATAACTGCTAAGACTGTGAGCTCAAGATCAGCTGCCCAGAGAGCTGCTGAACAAAGACTAAAATGTGCATTAAACTGTTGGGCATCAACAGCCTCGCTGACACTGCAAGCTGGTTTATTCCCTTGATGGCGTACAAGGACCTTCTATGGTCTTCTTGGGGTATGAGACTGATTTCTTGTTTCTCTGTCTACAATAATTGTTTAAATAAAACTTCATTAGAAAGGTAGACTCCATCCTGATTGAGTCTCAAGATGCTCACCATTTCCTCCAGGAAAACATGGAAGGTGGGCTTTGTCATTCTTTGACAAACCAAAACCAAAGCAGAAATAAACATGATCGCTATTCCAGCAGCAGGAGTTAATCACAGCCATACCCATCACTGTTGAGGTCCACAACAGCAACATCGTAGCCAAAAGAAGAGGCCAGCCCTTCTCCTTCAAACATGTGCTCCAAGGAAAGTGCTCTCTGATTTTTTTCCTTCTTTAGTAAAACTACTGCTCCGCTGTGGTTCGCTCTTGGGGCACCAGACACAAAAGTCATCTCATCTTGGGAGACAATTCCTTTACCAGAGTCCAAAGAGAAACCTTTAACAGAGAAAGAAATAAAGTATAAATTAACTAAGTAACAGCTTGCATCTTCATATGAAAAAATAAACATTTCCCCAGCTATATTAAAGTGGTATATGGAATATAAGTTTTGTCTAAAACACAGTGTGCTATGGCTGGGAATTCTCCATTTCTGTTTGCACTGGTGGATGTGTATTTGCAAGTCAACACTTTTTTACATTCTTACAAACACTCCTCCATACATTACAGTTAGTGTTTCCCCACAAAACACAGTACTTCATTGCTGAATTGGACCTGCTTTTCGCAGACCCCAAACACAGGATACATACAGCTCAGACACAATTACAGCTTTACCACTTCAATATAGCTTGAGTACTTCACCTCTGGCAAAATTATCAGAAAACCTCCTAAGTAAAGTCAGTATCGTTCCATTACAAACATGCAAATTGTTCTGCACAAGCATTCTCACATGAATGATGTATGCAGTATTTGAGAATCAGCTTACACAGTAATGGTGAAATAGGCAATTTTAAGTTAATGCAGCTCTAAGAATGATATGTTCAAATTAATTTAGTCTTACAAAACATTTTAAAATATGAAAAACCAAGTTAAAAGACTGTACTGCTAATACCAATATATCCAGTGAAGGCCAAAGTAGAAAAATGCCCACTTTGCAAGGAAGGAAGATACCAGCCAGATGGGAATCTCCCTCTGAAACACTTCACCACTGCTATGGAAATTCTCAATTACAACAATTCACAATGACAGTTCCAGAAAAAACTGAGGGATTCCCAGCTGCAGGAAAGATGAGAAGGTTCGGAGAAATGCATGACAAATCAGCATTTCTCTCAAGCCTTGTTCCTTTGCTGTCTCCCCTTTATCTGAATCCCTGTTTTTTTCATGCTTTACTGATATGAGAGGGGATAGAGGGGAGGGGATCATGACAAAGGTCTGGAGATTATGTCTGACCAGATGCTGCCACCTCAAGTGGTCACAAACCTAAGTAGCTATTCATCATTACATCCACTGACTTGTCCACCTGTATGCTGGGAGGCAATGTTTTGTACACAAACTGATCTGGATGAGTATCAGATACAGCTGTCAAAAATAGAAGACCTATAAATATGAGTGAAAGATTGAAGAGAAAAAAATAGTAGTTAAGCAAGGCACCTATAACCACATTTGCTTAAGGTGTAAACAGACAGCACAGTAATGCCTGGGATGAGCTGGCTTGCCTGGAAGTGGTTCTGATTATTACAAATCAAGGCAGCATCTACATTTAGGAGATAAATGCATTGGTTACACAACTGGAAAAAGATTAGATGACTGTTCACAGCAAAAGGCATCGGCCTCCACAGCGCTCCTCAATTCTTATTCCACCAGAAGATGCTATCAGCTTGTCTAATCTAAGCTCTTAGGATGATTTTTCTAGTTAGCTTTACACCCAGTAATTACAGCTGATATTTAAGAGAAGTTTATGTTCTCTTTCTCCTAACACATATGTAGCTCTAAGTTTGCTCTCTTCTTGACTTGGTTTTTTATTTTTTACATTCGCAATGCCCTTCCCATCTATTCAGCTTTCCATCACTCACACAGAAATTCCAGTCTCAGGTTACCAAAACTCTGTTTGTTACATATGCCAAAAGCAGTGGATCAACACACCACAGAAATCTGCACTGGAACAGAAGGATTCTTTACACTTAATGCCTTTCCAAAAATGCAGCATAGCCTTTTCAGTCTATCTCCCTGGTGTACAGAAAGGTCGCTGGCCTAAGGACATATTCCTGCTTTCTTGACTGCACAAAGAGCAAGAGATTCACCTCCTGCAACACACACATCAGTAAAATATAAACAGCACTTATATTATGGCATTTTAAAGGTCTGTTAAAAGTCACTGGAGTTTTAAAAGCATAAACAATAGAAGAATTGCATTTACCTACCAGGAGAGAAAATCTACAGCCTTCACCGTTACATCCAGAAACTCAAATTTTGATAAACTTTCTGATACTACATGGCAGAGACTGTGCAACTAAGGACTACAGACTCATTCATTGTACTGACCCATCACAGTGATTATAATCACTCCTGGAGATTCCATAGGCCCTTGGCACAGCTCTTGAATCTCACATTACAACAGCAGCTCTTCTAGGTATCTCAGCAGTATCATCTTACACTTAAAACTGGTCCATAAATGTGGAGGGAGGCTGTGAATTATCCCAAAGAGTTAACATGTTACAGGGTCCACAATGGAACATCTGCTCCCACTTCAGATTATCACACCAGGCTGGGATCACAGATGTTTAAGAGACCTAAAGAGATTTACCACATGTACTCAATCCTACCTAAGTAACTGTTAGCTGGAACAGGAACTAGATTCTTATCCTGGCGGCTCTCATCACCAACTTCGTAAGGCCCATCATCAAAGATACCCAGATCATAAAATGTCTGATTCTTTTGCTCTGCACGAACCACCCCTGAAAAAATGAAATGATAAAATAAAAGCAAACAAATGATAAGTGAGAAAAATAACAAATAAATGTTCCCAACTTATATTAATTATGATGAATGACACAGTGACTGCTGTTAAAATGGGACAAACACAGAACAGTGCACTGGGTTAGTGTTTTGTTTCTGTGTGCCAGAAGCTCACGCTGCTCTACAAAGAAGTCATACAATGATCTGGAAAACATGGGATACTAAGGAAATTCTCAAAAAAAACCCTATTGAACCTGTTTGGTCATAAACCACCAGTATTTTTTAGCATTATAAAGCTTCTCTTTAAAAGGAGGTAATTACACAGGAGTTTTTAAAAAATTACATTTCATTATGACAAACACCAGCATTATACTTAGAAACAGTATTTAAGAAGAAAAAAAGCTATTGTTCAGTAAAAAGTGTGCTTCCCTTTTATCAATTGGCATAATTAAGGTTTTGGCAAGCACAAACATGTTTCTCCATTACACAGAAGAGTACTCTTAGGACTCTACTAGCACTTCTCTGCAATTAAAGTAAAAGGGTGTCTGCACTCAGTATGCTGTTTCAGGTCAGGCAGATTTTGTTGACAGATACATGGAAGATTAAGTTTTCACTAAAGTACACCTTGTGCCAGAGCTTAACACACTGATTTTGCACGGTTCATCCACCAGGCACAGGTGTACGAGGTGGAAAAATGCAGTGCTTGGAGGATCAGATGTTCTCAAGAGGAAAGTATTTACAGCTGTTGGTGTAATGAAGTGTGATGGGAAAAATCACTTCTAGAGACTGAACTGGGCATTTAGATGCTTCTGAACATAAACTAACAAAGAATATCCAGGGTTTTTTCCCCTTATGTTTTGGAGAATCTCCTAGATGACACAGAGTACTTGGCTCTTAGATTATCCATGAAATTTTACATGGACATGCATGGATTTAGATATGAATATATGTAGTATTGCTGTTACCTTCCTGCAACCCTTCAATATTTATTTTGGAATGTACTGGTTTCCAGAAACTTCACAAAGAATGAAGGAGAGAATATTGCAGAATAAACAGAGTTCAGCAGCTATCTAACATTTGCTCAAATGCAGAAAAAGAGCTGGTCAAGTAACTCATAAAAATTTAGTAGTTTGTTCCTGTATGTAAGTGTCCAAGTAAGCCCTCAATCCCACCGTAAGATTAAGACTAATAAAGGGAAAATCTGCTGTACATATGTGCAAAGTTCCATTATTCATAAATACACACTAAGATATTTAAAGAAACTTCAGTAAGTGTTGATATTTGGATACTTAGAAGCATAGCATTTTGTAAAAGCAGTAAAATCATTACATCCCTATTATCTCCTCTCCCCTTAAAAAACAATTAAAACTCGGGATTCAACCTTTGAGAGCAGTCTCAGAGGAAGTGGGAAGGGTAGGCAGGAAGGAGGCCAAGTCATACCTTTCCAGTTGTAAGTGCCTGGGGCACCAAACACAATATAATGATAGTCTCTAGTAAAAGTAGCAGCAACACCTTGCTGACAGGAACCAAACTTCTCATGGCCTCTCAAACGACCATCACAAAAACTCCACACTCCATTATCCATATCATCCTTAATAGTGAGGTCCTGGCTGAGCACATAGCACCTTCCAATGATATCCCGGGTTTCCTGCACTGTGTTTACATACTGCCTTTTCTCATAGCGATGTGCGCACGTCTGCAAGACAGAAGAAACAACGTGTGATGTGTCTGTGTGTCGTGCAGGGCTCAGCACAGAAGGCAGCGCTCAGGGAGCAGTGCAGCCCCTCCTGCCACCAAGGCACTCTGCAGACACACCCAATGCAGAATGCAATGCTTCCTACAGGCAACACGTGGGAAAGGTTGGGCACCTACAGGTACAGGGCAAAGCAGTCTGCTTCACAGTGAAGGATGGCCACAGGGTTAAATCCCTAAAGCCCTTCCTGACATTAAATCCCTCTCTTTCAAGAAGAAAGGAGAAAACCACCCTCTCTCAAAGAAAGAAGTGGCTGTTTCCCAACAGCTCTCAAAGGACCGACACACCCGTGCAGGACACAAGAAGCTGGTTCAACTACCATCTACCCAAGACTATTCAGAACCTGCCCCTTACAGAAAAGCGCCACTAAGCAGAGGCTGAAAGCTTCTCCAGTGGAGGGGAGGGAAGTTGCTCCTACTTCCCCTGTTGGATGTTCCATTTACAGGGCAAATGTCACTGGGGCAGAGCTGAAGCACTAAACACATCCTGTTCCTCATCCTTTCAGACTATCCCCCGAGAAAAGAATTTTCATCAAATATTTAACACAAAGGATGAACAGCCATTGGCTAAGCAGTGTAAACACCAAACCATTGTAAAAAAATGTGAACAATCAAATGCCTTTGCCAGCAGTGTTTCTGGAAGACTCAGATGTAGCAGGTTGTGTGAAGAGCACAAGCAAAGTTTGTCTTAGCTGACAAACCTGTTCTATGGTTCCTATCAAGGCCTGCATGTTATGCAAACACCCAGCTGCTCCACATTAGAGCACTGCAGTACTGTCCTGCTGCAGTGACCTCCAGGCTGCTCACACCTCATCTGAGAAGTGCATTCCCCACTCACCACAAAAAGACAACATAGCATTGGTTGATGACCGATTATTCAGTGAACAGGACTGTTTCTATGTGTTCCTTCCCACTCTGGGTTCTGAGGCAGACCAAAGCCAGTTATTACTGCCTCTAAATGCTTAAATAACCAAATTCACTTCCTGAAGTCACCTGCCCTCAGGTTTGGAAGCAGTGACTTTAACCTCCAATTAGATGAGGAAGCTTCACTGCACACATGTTTTATGATATATGTTTTATCCTGCAGCACCACTAGTGTTTTTTATTTAACTGAGAATGTTACTTTTTAAACTCTGTCTCTCATAACTCCCAAAAACCTTTTCTGTTTAATAAAAAATCAAAAAAGTATCAAAATCACAAAGTATCAATGTATTGTAAGCACGTAGTCTTACTGCAGTGCAATCTAGTGCAGTGCAATGACGACATTAATTCACAGGAGCTACTCAGTGGAAGTCCCTGATAAAAGCTCAAGTGAGGCTCACCATCTTGGAAAACAGGCTGGTGATAACCTGCTACTTTTACAGCCTTATACACTAGTCTTCCCTATTTCTGCAGCTACTGGTAGTTAAAAGAAAAATTGTGTATATGACTAAAAAAAATAGTGTACCCCTTGAAAATAAACTGTCCATTCTAGATTGTTTAAATGGTTACAAAGAGAGGCTAACTCGTAGAAAAATAATTTAAAGCTCTCACAATCTCAAATGCCTTATTTTGCTAAGGAGACATTTAAGTCCTTGCCTAGGAGAAATCAAAGGAGTAAACTTAGGCAAGTTCCCTTTCAGCAAGCTGCACAGAAACACAGACCATTCAGAACATGTACTGGAGACCCCAGACGTTTTTGCAAGTCAGTCCTTTAGCACTTACCACCACATTTCCTCCTGGCCCCTGACTCTGGACAGTTACACCCATCCACTGGTCTTCTTTACTCTCCATCCTTGGGTCAGCTGCAAAGTATCATAAAACAGCTTGAAATATTAACAGTTCACTACATTTTCTTTTTTCTGGTTTTTTTTTGTTTGTTTTGGTTTTTTTTGTTTGTTTGTCTTTTCTTGAAGCCCATGTCAGGGGAGACTCTTCATACAGAACTTCATACAGACAGTCTGCAGGTGGCAGTGTCTGTACATGTATCACTAACAGCTTCCATTTTATTAAACTTCTAGCCTATTACTTCGTGTTACACCAATTTACAAAACAGTAAGAATCTACCAAGATTTAAGTATCTCATAGGAACTTAGCAATTAAGCTACAACTTATTGTGATGCAAAAAGTAGTTAGGTATAAATCAGAAGAAATTGCCTGATACACTGCCTCAGGAAAGGACATCAAACAAGAACAATCAGTTTCAATTCAAAACAAAAGCACTGAAAAACTTACTTTCCTCATCAAATTTGACACGCAGGCAGTTTGTATTTGGAGATGCAATGTCACAGCTGTACAGCCCTCCGGTTCTGTTGGCTTGTTGGGCTGGAAAGGCCTTTTCCCGAGGAGCTCCAACCAGCAATCTGCAGGGAAAACAAAGTAATTTAAAGGAATATGTAGAAGGAATATTAGAAAAGAGAAAGGCAGCAGAATCGGGAGGTGTTTTCACCATGTTGCTAGAAGTTTGACATGTCCACATTTGAAGGTGGATGGAAAACTACACCACAATAGCATTGCTCTTTTAAAAAGAGGAAAAGTGAGGGGGGGGAGGAGAGAAGCTGTATAGCAGTAATGCAGATTACAATTATTAGACCTGCAAGCCAATACCTGTATTGTTATTCCTGTTATTGTTGTTGCAATATTCTCTGATAGTGGTTGATAAAAAGTAGGTGTCCGGCAGTTCTGGCAAAATCATCTTTTTATCAGGGCATCAAGTGGTATGTTTTACTAGAAAAATGTACCATTTAAAAGGTACATTTGAAAAATCAAAATTCTATTATAAAAGCCAGATTACTTAATTTAAAAATAAAAAGTGTGCACAGAACTCCAGAAGTATGACATGAACCACACATCAGTGTGAATTTCAGCCTGGCTGCAGTAATACAAATGAATCAGCTCATATACTGAGCTGTGCTACGTGCTCAGCAGAGTCCTTCCAGATAGAGGACACATTCCAGTCATTACTCTGTGCCTACTTACTCTGCTGTGATTTAATAAAAGAATTTTAATCAAGTTTGAGCTCATTATGCCAAAACCAGGTTAGCTTTTTCTGCAGCTATGCATGTTCCATTTTAGCTTTCTCACTGCCAAGCAAAACCTCTTTCTGCAGGTCAGAGGTAGGGGTAGAGTGAGGGAATGCTCTTCCAGCTATCACCATCTCCTTATAGCAGCAGATGAAACACAGACACTCAAAACCTAGGAACTTTTCCTCTGCAAATGAAGAGTGACAAAAACAAATTCTTAATTTCTCTTCACCCATGCTCATGGTATGATTAATTTTATTTACTGGGACTTCTCCCTGAAGGTCTGTGGACATGGTCTACTGTAACTATTTTCACTTAGGTTTGAATGTCCAAAATCATGTTCCAGAATGCATATTCAGATAACAAAATAACGCCCCAATGTCAAGAATGCAGTGGGAGATGAAAACGCAAGATACTCCAACACACAGACAATTTTACTGATTTTTCTATCCCCATGGTAGGCTTGCCTTGTTACTCTACAGAAAACAGAAGCTCAGCCGTACAGTATACTGGATATAAACATCTCTGAGCATCAGTTCCTCTCAGAGACTTAGCTTTTTATTGAGTTATGATGACTTAATATCTAATGTTTACCATGAGTCCAATGTCAGAGAAAAGCAGACAACAATTGCTATTCCTCACGTAAATTACAGAAACAGATAATTCTGACTGTTAACTTGAATCCTGATTTTCCACACACATCTTGTTCAATACTTACTATAACCTAACTGGGTTTTTTCTGGGCCAATCAGACTGCACAGGTGTTAATCCACAGAAATGTAACATAATAAACCATTAATATAATTTAATTTAAAATAAGCATCCAACAAGTGACAGTGTTGGGGGGAAAAAAATCTGAATTCTCTCAAACCCTGGGATAAAACTTCAATGTTTTTAGCTCTAGTTATAATTAAAGCATGTGTTTTCCAATTTCAAACTGAAATTCTGATTTTTAACCAAATGAATCAGTCCAGTTGCTCTATCGATTAGATTTTAATTAATGATTTCTCTTAATTACTTCTTGAAGATACGTGATAATAACTGAAGTCCCACTGCCAATTATGGGCATCAGTTGATTTAGAGGAACAGATTCACTCCCTTCCAGTCCCAGATTCATGGCCAAATGTAAGATAATCCCCTAAGATGAGAGCTCCAGGACTGGTGTACGATGTTGTAACTAAGTGCCCTCACTGAGAGGCAGGCTCAGGGGGTGCTGCCTGCCCTGCAGACATAAGTGACCCCGGCTGTACCTGTGTGTGTGAGAGCAGCTGTAACACAGCAGGGAGAGCCGGCCCCTGCTCTCCAGACAGGGAGCAGTAGGGCAGCACATCCCTCCAAGGAACCCTAGGGCACAGCTACACCCACCCTACCTCACTGCGCTGTTACATTACACCCGAACACAACAGCTGAGGCAAGAAAAGCTCCTCAAGTCTCAGAAAAGGCATCAAGACATCTTACTGACTTTATCTGCATCTGGAGCAGACCTTTAGATAAGTGTGTGTGGAAAACATGCTTCATAAGCCCACATATCTCCAAGAAGCAGAAGAAGGTGAGAACTCACTGCCCACACTCAGGTAGGCACCATGTAACTAGAGGTCCAACTCCAGATACACAAACAGTCTATGAACTGTAGGTCTGGCTGCATTTAGAAGAACCAGTCAGATTCTGGAACAGGATGATTTACTGAATGCAACATACCACGTTCCTCTGGACTGAGGGTGAGAGTGCATTAACTGCAGAGGAGCTACATCCAGCACTAAAAGTGCCACTGCAATCACAAGTTTAATATCCCAGGTCAACACTCAGCACAGCTGAGGACACAAGGCTTACCAAACAGTGTCCCTACTGAGGGGAGCAAGGAGGACAAACCTGTCTGTCTGTCCCTGCAATTTCGCTCACATTCTCCTGCCCCACTGGATGCAGAAGCGGGGTACTTGTATATCTTGTTCACTGTTACCATGCCAAGTGCTGTGGGTGGGACTGCAGCCAAATCTTCCATTCTTTGTGGGCCTATTTGCAGAATATGTCTTGGTAGGAAGGGTACTTGGTTAGCACAAAACATTTCTGGGTATCAGGGAGAAGGAGGAGACCACGTGGCCTGCGCCTCACCAGACACTGCCACCCCCAGTGCCACAGCAACACAAACCACAAGCCCTGCAGCTGATTTCCACACCTGCACCCAGAGGCACCATGGCATACTGAGCTTTGCGTTTTCTTCACTACTTTATGCTTTTAACAACCGGCATTCAGCAAGAACAGTTAGGTGAACACTGAGAAGAAAGGGTGTAACTTTATTTAATCAGATATGGCCCAAAAGAGTCATTAAAGTCCAAAGTAAAATACAAGAGCTTTCCATTTCAACACACTACAGAATGTTAAGCAGTAGGGTGCAGATTTTAAAACCCTCCCTGCTTTAATTGGTAATTCTGGAAATGTTTAGTAGGTAGCTGTGGCTCCTTCTCAGCTAATGAAAACAACAGTAAGAACTGGGAGTGGTTTCTGCTCACAGCTATTTGAACTCCCTCCAATACTGCTCATGAAACTATCTTGGTTGCTTCCAAAAGGAAAGTCAAAGTTAAGATGCGAAAACCATCTCAAAAGAAATCCAAAAATCATCCAACCTCCTGGAAGTATTCCCTCACTCCACAGCAAAATTCTTTTCTTCACTTACAGCCTGGAATTGTCCAAGGGTAATATATGATTTTCGCAACATACTTCAGAGAAGAAAAATTATTACCAATTCATTACAGTTCTATTTTGGAAAAAACTCTCAAAAGAAATCAAGTTAAAGGAGGGTGAAGATCTTCAATGTTTTTTAGATTAAATATCCTGTTCATCAAAGTAAGAGGCTCCCACTGAGTAAATTATATTTTGATTTAAACAAATACAAAAAATACCACAGTCTGCACCAAACAGATACTCTGCTATCTCCCAAAGTTTTCTTCATTCCTTAAATTCTTTCCTTTTCCATGATGTCCTTCTACCCAAACAAGGCGCCACATCTTTGCCAGCCTTTCTTTAAAAGTAAAAGCAAACACACCCATAGTGCCTGCTCTGAGCCTTAACAGACTGGAGTAGAAATCATGAAAGTGTTTCCTGGGTAAGAAACCATTAACCACTTCCACATATAAGTGAAATAAAGTAGTCACCGGTCTAAGTAATTTGCAATTTTGCAGGCTCCTCAGAGCACAAGTTTCAAATGGAATATTGCTGTTCTCAGGCAACAATGCTGCCACTGCAGACTTTGCACTTCATTTTGTTTTCAGAAAGACTCCACAAGGGGGGCAAATTTGGAAACTGACAAAGCTAAATGCCATGAAATGGCTCACCCTTGACTGGACAGTTAAACTCCTACATCCTTTCTCTCTCCCACTTCCAGTGCCCTCTTGGGAAAGAGTTTCACTAGATTAAGCAAAATAGAGCCACTGGCTCTAACTCAATTTAAATTTTACTACAAAATCACCAGTCACAAGTCATCTATCAAATGTTTAAAACCTCCAGGCAGAGACCCCTGATCACAATGTGGGCATCTACAGCCCTTGGCCTGAGCTGTATTTTCACTCCTCTGCAATGATGTGGTCTCACCTGTTCTTAAAATTAACAAGCACAGAAGATGGATGCATTTAACCACCAAAATATTTCAACATAACTGAAGCTGGTCAGTGGGACAGCCACTGTGAATATTGGTGGCCCCAACCCAGCTTCACGCCTGGATTTGCCATTCCACAAAAGAAACAAGTTACAGGACAAGAGCACCACAGACCAATCCGCACAGAGAGACTGTCCCTTCACACACTGGGCTGCTAATGGGAACTGGGGCTAAACTATGGGCTCCTCCAAAAAAAGATCCTCCCCTGCAAAATACAACCAGTAACTGTGTCAGCAGGGAGCTTACCTGTGATGCTTTTCACAGAGACACCCATCATGGTCAGTACGCTATTAACAGCTATTTCAAGCGACTGAATATTCTCCTGATCTGCGGCTCCACAGCTAAACTTTGGAACTAACAGTGCAAAGCTGTGGCCAAGTACATCATTAATGTACTCTGTTGCCTGGAGGCTTGGCACTTGAAGGATTGCAATTTTCATTTTATTTCTTCAGCCTTTTTTAGGAAACAGATTATGACAGAAGCTAGAAAAAGAAGCCAAAAACTGCACAAGGACTAGGGCTAGCTAATACAAAGCAAAACTGGAACTACAAAGATACCTGTTGTTCTGGAAAGGCCACTTATTATTGACTTTCTGAAAGTCACATGGAAAAATAAACACTTTCCCATCACAGTCCAGAGCCCAGCCTGTCTGGATTTGAAACAGGTTTTGCAGATCTTATTTCCAATTCCA